TTTTTTTCAGCCAATCATTCGAAAGGCACACATTGTATTCACAGCTTTCATAAAACATAAAGTATTTCATTTGCTAACCATGGGTTCAAGGTCACAAGAACTACAGTTGAAGCGGATTTAAAGAGTTTAAGCCATTTTATAGCAAGTTAGAAGCTTGTCTGATCCGGGAGCAAAGTCTTTCAAGTCGACATTTTACTGTACCTTTACGTTTTTTCCATCATCGTTCACTATAAAGTGAAAGGCTATTTTGTGGCACTTGAAAGCATTTCAGGTAGGTATGCACACAAATAATCAGTAGGAAACGACATCTATCTGTCTATTCCAATCATTAGCTAACTGGCAAAATCGGTTGAGCGTATCATACTATGTGGCTGTGTAAGGAACGATAAATATTCGAAAAAGTATTTGCTCTTCATTTACAAGCACATGATAAACTCAATTAAAAAGTACTTAAATTCGAAAATTTCTCAGGTTTGAAATCACTTTTTCATTTCTCTTAAAACTATTTTGGCAACTTAATGCCAAATATCTATCATCATAATATCTGTCACCATACATATTATCTGTGCTGCTCGTTGGCCCTTCAGCTATTTGAATAAATGAAGATAGATTTGACAGCAAGAGTTCCACAACAGTGGCCCAGACGCCATCCAGGGAGGATGGAAAAATGAACCATTCAGCTAAAAGCGAATGGCCAACAACTGAAATCCACCGCCAGCGGAAGTGCAATGAAGCTTGGCCGAGAGCAATGAGCAATGGGCATTGAGTTGAAGTTGCTTATGCAAAACAAAAGAGTGGCGTAAAATGTATCTAACAGATACGTATGTACATTTATATAAACTTAGAGGCATAGCGGCGCACAAAAGCTGCGCTGGCATTAGAACAAAAGATGGAATCTTCATTCGAGGTGGGCGCTGAGGGGAAGGCAGGCAGACGTAGCAATGCAATTAACGCTGTTTTGTTGGCGCGATAACATTTGAAATAAATAATAAAAAATGAGACAACAAAAAAGTTGGCACAGCCATTGGGGCTGCTGGAAACGATGAACGGCAAGAGTGCAGGAGTGTCTCTGTGTGTGTGCATTAATTGTGTGTGTGTGTGTGTGAGTGCTGGGCTGTGCTGTGCTGTCTCTCAGACATTGTGGCTGAGCGCGCGAGAGTCGCGTGTGCAATGCTGCAAAATTTTCAAATTCGTATTTTATTTTTATTTTTTGTTAACAATTCGTTGTTGTTGCTGTTGCTGCTGCTGCTGCTGATGTGACGGCAGTTTGGGTTATCGTCTGGCAAACGGCAATCACAACAGCCTTAGGAGTCGGAGCCAGAGCCGCGCCAAGCACCGCAAAATTTGCTCGCAAGTGAGGCGGTGGCTGAGGCTGGCGCAACGAGCCGACGCGACCCGTGAAGGAGGAGATGTCGTTGCTGCAGCGGCGGGAGGAGTTGGCAGCGCAACAGCAATAGCAACAACAAAAACAACAACAATAAGAGAGGCAAGACAGTCAGCCAGCCAGTCAGCCAGCCAGCCAGGCGGGAAACGAAGGCAATAGCAATGGCAACGACAACGACAACGTTGTGGATTTTGATTCTGGGTCATTCACCCTTGACAAAATTTTGCGCTGTGTTAGGCCGCTTTTGTGTATTACTTGTGTTGCTGCTCTTGTTGTTGTTGTTGTTATTGGCTGACTGCCTGAGCGTTTCGTTGTTGTTGCTGTGCACGCGATGCGATTGTTGTTGTGTCTGATTGTTGACGTTGTTGATACACACAAACACACATATGTACATACAGATGAATACATTTATGTATATGTATGTTCTGTTTGTATGCACAAACAGCGGCACTCAAATTTTGGTTGCTTGTCCGCTTTTGAGGCCAAGTCTCACTTTTCTCTCTGGCATGCAAATGCAACCCACAGAAACCGCAGGCGAGCACTTTGTGCCAATGGTCAGTGCGGCTGATTAGGCTGAACAAAACAGCCCATATACGACTATGTACATAGTTGTATGTACATTCAGACACATCTATGTATAATACATATGTGTATGTATAAGTATTTGCATCCTGTACTAGTCCCTTCTTTAAAACGATAAACATACAAACACCTTTGGCTACAAAATTAAAAATACATCCATACTTGGATTTAAGGACAAAGAATTAGACATCATTGTTATTCAAAAAGTCGTCTGCATTGGAACGAAGTGAGCTGTATTAGTATAGTTGTTCCCAAAAACGTCCACGTCAGGCACTATATCTTCAGCACACTACAATCTTTAGTTGTGTTTACATACAAGTATGATGCCCTGGACCCAAAGGGTGAAAAGGTATATTAGGCAAGTATAAATGCCAAATGTATGAAACAGGCACAGAAAATCCTGGTAGGCCTCGTAAATTAGGTAGATTTATAATTATCAGCATGACGAGGCAAGTCGATTTAGTCACTGAATTCTTTTGAACCATAATAGCAACGGACAACTGACCTTGTCTTGCCCATACACAGAACAAGTTTATTACAAAACATACATACACGTATGTATGTATATAGCCAGATTGATTTTTATTGCTGACACATAGCATCTTGTCTATGAAAATGTCCTAAGCCAATTTGTTATTCACGAGATTTATATCTATATCATATATTCGTTCAACTAGGTTTGTTTTAATTGAAAGCCTGTAGCGGGCGAATGCAAAGGAAAGAAATAATGAATTTCCTCTTATTAGAATACGAAAAAACCTGTTAATTCTTACTTTTCCCCACTAACTTCTAGTGCCTGGACACTGTTGGTCCAAATATCATTTCGGACGATGCGCATTCGAGCTTGTTTGGACTTATAAGTACTTGCCAGGCGTATCTAATTATTTGATGAGAAGTACCCGTATATTTGGCCTTACTTGACGCCTTTATGTTTGATAGTTTATTGCACGTCAATTGTTTGATTTCGTTTAAATTGTTGCCCGGACTGCCTATCTATATGTATACATACTTATCCATACATACATATGTAGATATTTAGTACTCACAAAATATTCTGAATTTTTCGCCTTTATCGTTGCGCATTTTATGCTGTTTGTTTTTCGTTGGGTTTTTGAACTTTCGCAAAATTTCAATGCCCTCTTGGTAATATAAAATTGTTGAAATTGAATTAATCAGAACGGCGGTTTGATACACAATTATGCGGTATATGTTATACAAATGTACATTATGTATACATTTATAAATATACATGTAAAAGGAAAAAAATATATATAACAAACAAACACAGCGTACACACATCTTTGTGCAAAATTTGTCGTCTCTAGCTCTTATAGTCTCTGAGATCCCGCTGTTCATACGGACAGACGGGCAGATAGGGCTAGATCGCCTCATCTCGTCATGCTGATCAAGAATATATATACTTTGTGGGGTCTGCCACGCCTCCTTCTGCCTGTTACATTTTTCAGCTCCCGCAAACCTAATATACTTTTGTACATTTCATGTACAGAGTATAAAAAAATATTGCTAATCTGAACAATAGACCACCGACCCTATCAATTTCTACTCTAGGTAGTTCGCAATGCAAACTTTTCAATTCCCCTAGCTTTCGTTTAAATAACACAACAGCTTAGCTGAATGTTTAATGCTCCGTCCTAACTCGTAACATATATGTATTCCCCAATGTCGAGCGCCGAAACTTCGGACACAATGCAATTGCCGTGCTCATTTAGGACAACGGCATAAAACAATCAATTACGAGGAGAAGAAAAAAACAGCAACAAAAAAAAATGAGAGAGAAGCTTTGTAAAATGTTGCAGTTTTGTGATTCCCACGTGCAAAATAAAGTAATGCATGGAGCATGTCATGGCGTGGCGGGGATTTATCTGTATTACGTACCCGCCACCGCACCCTTCGACTACGACACAACAAGGATATGGAGGATGTAAAGAGTGACTGCAACAACGCCTACCCACACGGAAATGTCAGTCGACAAACTGGAAATTATGTTTGTGCCAAATTTTAGTTTTCGGTCAGCAGAGGATTGCGCTGTAATCCAGCAACACAAAAAACAACAACTGAAAAAAAACCCCCCACAACAAACTCAAAACAGAAAAACAAAACCCGACAGGTGTAATAAATGACGAAGCGGACCGAACCAAACCTCCGACGAGGCCCAAGCTGAGTGCAATGCAATGTAGGCGAAAAAATGTATGTGCGTGTATGTCTGCCTGTATGTATGCTCCGTTCAATTGTGGTAGGATGAGGGTGAGGACATGCCGGAGGGAGAGCCAGGGATGCCGTCGTAGTGGCCACTAATTCGTGTCATTTAGCGTAGCTGGCCAGCCGGTGGCAGGTGGCGACAGAGGAAGAGGAGCAACTTCTACAACAGATTGACACACGATGATAGCGCCAGGAAATGATGTTGCGTCGGCCACTCTTAAATGGCTGTGGTTAGCGGCAACAAAAGTTCCAAAAAATATAGATGCTGACCCCATTTGCAGTTTCCGAGCGTGGTCGCGATCCGTTTGTGGGCATAAAAATTGCAGGTGGGGGAATGTAACAAAAACTTTCCAAATATTTATGAAGTGTTCAATAGGGGGCTCGTTGGTCGCCTTTTCCTCCCATTCCGCCACCGCCACCGCCACCACCACCACGGACACTAGTTTATTTGATTTGCATTTGGGTTTACTGTTACTGGAATACCGTTTGCCACCTACACGTCTAGTGGGCGTAAGCTTGTCAACAAAGGAAAAGTGTGACTACTGGGCGCCTAAAGCACGTAGACCGCATGCGGCGCAAAGCTGGCAAAGTACCAAATGCATGTTGTAATATTTGGCACATGCACATGCGGCGTTTTAATAAATGGAGTGTCAATAGCAAATTGCTTTAACCTAAAAAATAGTGTACATGCCAGATAAATGAGTTATAGATGCAGTTCAGTCATGGAAGGAAAAGAAACCCCACGTTTGCATCCCCTTAAAAGCTAACGTACGTGTTGCGTTTTGTCAACAAATGCAGTTGAAAATAAATTTACCGTCATTCCTTTCCAGCTCTTTTGGCTTGATTTTATCGTCTTCGAGCTGCTGCAACTTTTCAGCTGGACCCACAATCTTCACTTTCCGACCTTCCATAACCATTTTAAAAAGGGACTTAAAATTTCCTCAGCCGACTAAATTATTCGTGAAATTTATTTCATTCGGTTTTCGGTGAGCGCTTTTTCTACCGAATTCGAACGTTTCCTCAGAACTGGTTCACTCGCCTCCACACGAACCAATTGTCGATAAACATCGATAAGGCATCGATAAGGCATCGATTACTGTGAAACGATACTGACCAACACTGCGGGCTGCTGTTCAGCACTGTTTTGAGGGCGTAGTTCCAACAAGTGCAGCATCGTTAATTTGTATTACTAATTAATCGCGGTGCATGTTGCTCGCGCAGTGAAGCTTTATTTTTAGTTTATAGATTTTCTGTAGCATTTCTAAGGTATTATTTTCTTAGATTAAGCTCTTGCGTGCGAGGGCGTAGCGGTGATATAATAGAAGCAAACAAGTGCTGGCCGACGCACAATGTTTCACAAAACAATTCTTGGGCGCAGCTACCTGCTCTTCTTCTTGCTGCTCGCCGTGGGTGTGTTCGCTCAGCATGAGTGGCAAGCGCGAGATGCTTTTGACGAAATCAAGATCCAATTCGACAAAGTTAATGCGGACAACTGTCCAATACAGCACCATTCCGACTTATTTATGCCCGTGGACGCCATCTCGCACAAGCCGGACATCAAGGAGGTTAATGTGAATCCTGTCTTCCCTAATCGCACTGCGCTGCTGCATCTGCAGAACATGGCGCTGAGTCGCAGCTTCTTTTGGAGTTACATTTTGCAGTCGCGTTTCATACGCCCTGCCATTAATGACACATATGATCCTGGCATGATGTACTACTTCTTGTCCACGGTAGCCGACGTGTCAGCTAATCCGTCCATCAACGCCTCGGCCGTTTACTTTGCGCCCAACAGCTCGTACTCCTCATCGTACCGCGGCTTCTTCAACAAAACATTCCCACGCTTTGGGCCCAGAACCTTCCGTCAGGACGATTTTAATGATCCCATACATTTGCAAAAGATATCAACGTGGAACACGTTCGATGTGCGTGACTTGGGCGCGCATCACCCAGACTCCATATCAAAGGATTACACGCACGATCTTTACAAGATAAACGAATGGTACCGGGCCTGGCTGCCGGATAATGTTGAAGGACGGCACGACACGAAGATAACGTATCAGGTTGAAATACGCTACGCGAACAATACCAACGAAACCTTCACATTCCACGGTCCACCTGGCTCTGAGGAGAACCCGGGTCCCATTAAGTTTACGCGCCCCTATTTTGACTGTGGGCGGTCCAACAAATGGCTGGTGGCTGCTGTGGTGCCCATTGCTGATATCTACCCCCGGCACACGCAGTTCCGGCATATTGAGTATCCCAAGTAAGACTTAAATCATTGATTTCCGAAGAGTCCTCCTCTATCATCTTGCTTGCTTTTGACAGATACACAGCCGTCTCGGTGCTGGAGATGGATTTTGAGCGTATAGACATTAATCAGTGTCCGCTGGGTGAAGGCAACAAAGGTCCGAACCATTTTGCGGACACGGCGCGATGTAAAAAGGAAACAACGGAATGTGAACCATTACATGGCTGGGGCTTTAGGCGGGGCGGCTATCAATGTCGCTGTAAGCCGGGCTTTCGACTACCAAATACTGTGCGGCGACCCTATCTCGGTGAAATTTTGGAACGTGCCTCTGCGGAACAGTATTACAATGAATATAACTGCATGAAGATTGGCTGTAAGTTGATTTTCTCAATATTCCTCTCGTTCTGAAGCCTTTATCCTATTTCCGTTTTGCAGGGATACAAAAGCTGCCCATTCAGTGGGAAAAGGCACCTTATCATGTGCGAGAAAAGTATCTTGATATGCATCGCGAGTATCGCAACTATACGACTGGCGCATTTTCGCTACACTCTGAGCACATAAACATAGATCAGGCATTAAAGTTTATCCATGGCGTTAACTATCGCACATGCAAAGAGTGAGTTATAAATTCAACAGTGCAACAAATCATTAAATTATTAGATACAACTTTCTAAATCTTCAAAATTCTTCCAAATTGTTGTTATTTTCATTTGCGATATTTTTTGTTGGTTTTTTCATAGTGAAAGTGCAAATAGTATCGATGTTTTATTGAATTCAACCTAATTTTCAATTTCAGCTTCCATCCGCAGGATTTAATATTACGCGGTGATGTCAGTTTTGGCGCCAAGGAACAGTTCGAGAACGAAGCAAAGATGGCTGTTAGACTGGCCAACTTTATCAGTGCTTTTCTACAGGTAGGCGAGGCACCCAAGTCCTCATGACTTGCTGTTCTAGTTTGTCGTTCACAGCGTTTCACGCTAGCGGCACAAATGAAAAGTAATAATTGATAACCCGACACCTATTAAGCGTCTTCGACGCTTAGTTTGGAGAACACAGAAGAACTCTTGAAAACTTCTCAAGTGTAAATTATAATTTTCCACGCGTAATTCAACTTCCTCGAATTTCCTGCAATGCCAGTTTGCACAAATGGTCTCCAGTTGCCTATTGCCTGTTGCCAGTTGCCAAGAATTAAATATTCAGTGTCAAACCATTACCAAATGCTAAATTCATTAGTTTGAGCGAAAAAGACACGAAAAACGAGTTCCCTGGGCATCGTCATCTTCATTAAAGGCCCGCTATCAAGGCGAGAAGGAAGCTGTGAAGGAGAGAAGGCAGACCTTCGTCTATATTTGCACAAGTTGTTAGCATTCAAATGCAAACACACACAATTCGATTCAAAGAGACGACATAGACACAGACAAACTATCTTGATGTTGTAAATCCCTAAATTCAACAGAAGCCTGCTCTATAATAAATCCTAAAACTAATTTTCCCCCAAAACTCTTCTTTATCCGCAATGTTCAGGTCTCCGATCCCAACGAAGTCTATTCGGGCAAACGGGTGGCCGACAAACCGCTCACCGAAGATCAAATGATTGGTGAAACATTGGCTATTTTGCTCGGCGACAGCAAAGTCTGGTCGGCCACCACGCTATGGGAGCGCAATAAGTTTACCAATCGTACCTATTTCGCACCCTTTGCCTACAAGACCGAACTGAACACGCGCAAGTTCAAAGTGGAGGATTTGGCGCGCCTCAACAAAACACACGAGCTCTACACGGAAAGGAAGTACTTCAAGTTCTTGAAGCAACGCTGGAACACCAATTTCGACGACCTCGAAACATTCTATATGAAGATCAAGTTACGCCATAACGAGACAGGTGAATACCAGCAGAAGTACGAACACTATCCAAACTTCTATCGGGCGGCAAACATCAAGCACGGCTACTGGACAGAACCGCAATTCGACTGCAAAGGCTATGTGAAGAAGTGGCTGGTGACCTATGCGGCGCCCTTCTTTGGCTGGGACAGCCTCAAAGTGAAACTTGAATTCAAGTGAGTTGACAGTAGTACTATATCAAAATCAACGCAAATGGGGTGCAAATTGCTGTGTTTTGTTGTATTGTACGCGCTTAGGTGCGCTTAGGTGAACATTGTTAGGGTTCGGGGCGCCTCATGTTGGGCCGGTCCGCTGCGTGCCGTAGCCCGTCTTTGGGCCAACCCCTTTTCGGGGCTCTGGTCCATTCTAATGCAAATGTTTTGGCATAGTTCCTACGATTTGATTGTCTAATTTTTAAGTGTTGACATGGCATATAAATATATGACTTGTGTCGTTTTGACTTTATCCATTGTCATGGAAATGTGCGCAATTAAATTTGACTAATTTGTGTGGATTTTTGATTCTCTCACAGGGGCGTGGTTGCCGTATCCATGGACATGATGCAGTTGGACATTAACCAGTGCCCGGACTGGTATTATGAGCCGAATGCTTATAAGAACACGCACAAATGCGATGAGAAGACCTCCTATGTACGTTCATACGTCCTTTTGCCCGCTCTTAAAAATATTTTCCAACTAATTTGCGTTTCTCTCTTTCGCTTAACAGTGCGTGCCCATAATGGGTCGTGGCTATGAGACTGGCGGCTATAAGTGCGAGTGCCTGCAAGGCTACGAATACCCCTTTGAGGATCTGATTACCTACTATGATGGCCAGCTTGTTGAGGCTGAGTATCAGAATATTGTGGCAGATAAAGAGACACGCTACGACATGTTCAAATGCCGCTTAGCTGGCGCCGGCAGTTTGCAATCAGCGCTGGGATTGGTCATATCGCTGTTTGGCCTAACAATCACGCTGCTTTATAGATTTAGTTAAGTTCGAGTCGTCGTAGATGTCGAGGTCGATTTCGATTTCGCCAAATAATTTAAAACTTCCGTCCAAAACTGAAAAACTCACGTTGACACGATAAATACCCTCACAAAAGACAGTACATATTTATGTGCATAACTACAAAGAATCTCAGAGACAAAATTGACACCCGAAAACAAAACGCGATACAAAAACAAAAACAGCCAGACAACTCCTTTTTTTTCCATGGCACTCTCCCTCTCTCTCTATCTCTCACTACACATTGCCATCATTTATCTCCAAGGCGATTAAGTTGTAGACATAATCTATTACAATGAATCTGGTTATTTGTCATTTTATCAAAGGCAAAGCAAAGGTAGCAGCAGCAGCAACAGCAGAAAAGCGCAAACAGCCGCGCCTCCTGCGCTCAGATTACGGAAGTGCTGGCAAAAGCGCTGCTGAGGTAGAGGCTGAGGATGATGGTGAAGATGACGATGACGACGAAGTGGTCGCCGCTAATGTCCGTGAAGTCGCACAGCTGTGTGTGCGTGGCTGCTCTGCAAACCTGTTAACATCAAAACCCAGTTAGGCGATCGTTCTCCTGTACCTACACCCATCATCAATCCAAGGCCCAAATTCCAACGTCCACGATCGCTTGGGCGAGGGTTGTTTGTGCTACACGCACACCTTTTTTTTTCCAAGCTAGCGGGGCTGCTGTTAGGCATAAAAAAGAAGCAATGCTTGGTGTTTTTCTTATATTAAATCGTCGACGATGGTCCGTTTTTTTGCATGAATTAAATATGCCGGCGCTTTTTTCACCTTGATTATCATATGCGCTTGAAATTTTTATTATCTGCTGCGGCACTGTACCCTGAGAACTTTTTCTATGACCAACGCCACAGGAACCAGTTTATCAGCCACTTGGTCTTGGTATTGGTCTCCTGCCAGGGCAACAAAATAAAAAACGGTAACTTTTTTCATTAAAAAATTGTATGCGCCGCGCAGCGAGGTAGCTTGGAAAACAGAGTATAGGAGCGATGATACAGGAGCTGGGCAGTCCACCAAAAGAAAAAATATTTTCACACATTTTTCATAGTCAATGCCGCGGCAGAAAAGACACACACACGTACACTCGGACAGAAAGCAGAGAATGTGTGGATCGGTGGGCAGTGACTGATGTTGCGATCGGGCAACTCCTCCAGTTGTGCAGTTGAGCCTTTTGAGGGCAGTAGCTTAGGAGAGGCGATATCTGCTGTGTCTGTCGCTGCTGCTACTGCTGGCCATCCAACAAGGTGGCTTTATATGTAGGTACTCTAGAGGATTGCAATTTCAAATAGCTCTTAGTTTTTTGATTTCGACTTAGCAACAGTACAAATCATCCTAATAATCAAAGTGTAAATTTTGTGCCTTAAAATGATATGCAAATGTTTATGCTCGAATATGTAAACCATAGACTAATACTAATGTCCGTCCATTACATAGAGTCTCTTTTGTATTATGTATGTACGTTTATAATAAGTGCCTTGCAAGAATGCATCAAAGTTTTTTATATACATTCGTTATATATCTATATATAAGTATATACACTTTTTGTATTCAAATGTACTCAAATGATGTATAGAAGTTTAAGGGTACACATATCAAAGTGTTCACTGCAATGCAATTACTCTTGAATGTAAACAAACTATGAAAATATATACGATTTGTAAGAAATATACGATATATACGATTTGTAAGAAACAAAACCTTGATTTTCGTAGTGTTAGTTGTTGAGGAGGTAAATCAAATAAAGAAGGTCGTTATATAACTATTGATGAGTTAAGCACACTTACCGAACTTGTTCATATTGCCGTTGCTGTTTATAGTTTCTAATTGCTTTGTGTATGTGGTCCAAAATATTATCCGGATGAAACAGCTTTTCAATGAATGAAGTTTTGGTAAATTTTCGTTATAGTCCGAATTTGAAAATTTGCTTGAAATTTTTACGTTTACCAACAAAATGCACAAATCAAATGAAATTGCAATATTTTTTAGGATTTATAAAAATGCAAAAGGGTTCACACAATATGCGTATTTTTTTCTTGCTGAACAAAATACAAACAAAACACAAATGATCTTCGAACACCAAAATAAGTTGACGCCGCTCGTCAATCGTCGAGCGTCGCACGTTTTCTTTATATAGTCGGATTCTTTTTCTAATTTTCACGGATGCTTAATACCTGTCTACCAGTGTTACGTTCAATAGACTCAAAATGATAAGTCGCGCACGTAGATTCTCTATCGGTCTTTTCCACGAAATTTAAGAATAATTTGTAATTTTGGTCATTTAATATTTTTTTGATCCTTTTAGAATTTTAACAAATTTTTAGTTGGGAGATGTTTTTGTACTGGGGAATTTATTTGTCACAGGGCTGTGATATCATTTAAATGACATTTAAAACAAAGTAGTACTCGTATACATATGTCTTTACCGTTTCGAAAATATTGCAAAGTAGAAGTAGTAAGTACTTAATATAGAAATATATCAAATTACCGAAACTGTACAATCGAAACCGTTTTTTCTGAAATTGTTGTGGTTGTGATTGGACAATTTTAAAAAGATTGGAAAGTGTTTTGTTAAAGGAACAACTGGTATTGGTATTATTTGGATACTTCCCACGTTAAACTTCTAAGTATTCCTTATATACTTGTACTTTATACCCCAAAGGTAAAATCTGCTTCGAACACCTTTTTAGCAACGCTAGATCCATTCCCAACCAACAATAAAACAGCAATAATTGTTGTAATTCATTTGACTATGTATTTCAGTATTTTTTCTGGGTAATACCGTTCATTAAGATCTGATCATAGTCGCACAACTGAATACAAGTTGTACTTATGTATATGGGATCCCTTCCTGGGGTACTTAGGTATATGAAATTGGTTATCAAACTTTCTTCTTTTTTTTAAAAACTATCACAAATCAATTATTAGGTGTGGCTGCATAACTTAACACATACAACTGCGTATGTAAACAGTTGGGAATTGTGTGTCCATATCGAACGGCGATTGAGATCTTTGGACACATGATTCACAACTGTTTTATTACACAGTAATACAACAGTTTTGGAGTTTGGATTTCGATTTTGGTTTGAATTCTACAATAACAATAAGTGGTACACAACGTTTCGCTAATTTACAACACATAAACATTTAAAAAATACATATGTATTTTAGTTAATAAAATACCGCTCTCAAGAGTTCAGTTCGCTCTCAAAAAACCAGTTAACAAGAAACGCGCAACAAAATCAAATCCTTGCTGGAATCTGTTGTGTGGCTTAGCGTTTAAAACAATACGGATCTCAGAATTTTAGTATTTAAAATGGGCTTATTATTATTATGGTTAATGGGTTCTGCCTTTGCCTGGTGATGTCTATAAACTATGTTCTTGCAATATTGGCTTTACTTTTGTTTATTCGTTGGCTAAGTTATCTTGGATTGGAGTTTCCATCCTTGCCTTTCTATGTGCCTGGGTGTGTAGCCTAAAATTTTTAATTTGTAATTGAATTATTTTAGTATTGTGTATAATTGCTAAAATCAATTGGCTTCGATTTGTTTTCTCATTCCAAATATTGCAATTTTTCAAATATCGAGTTCTTCTGGTTGAGCACCATAGCCATAGTTGATGGGCGTATTACGACTATGGCACAAAACCGAAATCTGAGATTTTTACGTTAACTTTGGGGGCACTTTCGAGTTCATTGGTATAGCTCCTTCATTTCTGGGGTTATCTGCACATTGGTGATATGGGAATGAGGTTGTGGATGTGGATGCGGTTATATTGATTCGATATTATCGGGTATAGCCTGGTTATTGTGTTAAATTGAATTGAAAATATTTCTCTGCGCCCTTCGGCGTTATGTACGTATAAGTATCTTTAATATTTGAGCAAAATTGTAACTGTGTGTACTTTAATTAAACTTTTACAATAACAACAACAACTTGAATATGACATAATGAGTATGTACTTATAATCATGATACGCACGAAAGCAGAAAACTGGATATCTATAAAGTGCTTCTTTTCTATAATAATTCGCCTATACTTTCAATGATTGTTCGTCAAACGCATTTACCGTATCGAATGATCATGTGATTATTTTCTATATACTCGTTTTGATATGCAGGACCGTACTAGACCGGATCGGTCCGGATCGCGGTCAGCTTACAACCGAAGCTTCGCTCCTAGACTTCGAGCTCCATCTAATCGGTGGCCGCATAGTAGACCACAGTCGACTTTCGTCGAAAGCCTAAATTGAAGAACGAGGTCTCCGACTTTTTCCGCTCGTGCTCGTGCTCATTGCCGAAGTAGGAGAAGAGGCGACCGCTGCCACTGCCCGCGGTCGGTGCCCGCGAGCTGCCGCTGCCTCGGCGGCTCCCATGGGCGCTGTGGCTGCTGCTCTGCCGATGGATCATCGTTAGCGAAGTGTGGGAGTGTTGGCGTTGCAGGTGTTGTTGCTGCTGCTGTTGCTGGTGGAGGCGGTGGTGCTGCTGATATTGTTGTTGTTGTTGCTGTAAGAGCTGCTGATGCTGCTGATGGTGGTGTGCGTTGCCATGCAGAAACCCAGTTGGCGATAGATCAGTCATCTCACACGGCCAGAGGGTGAACGAAGATGGGACCTTATGTATCCCGTCCGATAGTCGATAATGGTGGGATGCTGACCTGTTGAAGTACCGCTCCGAGGGCCGCGACCCCATCTATTCACAATTGTAGGTGTGTTTTTGTATGTGCCGAGAAGAGTACGCGTTTTGTTTTGGGCATAGAAAAAGTTACAATGTTAGTTCGATTTTTATAGATCTTTTAAAAAGTTGTTATTGGTTCTAGTATATGGCATTGATTTTGTTCAGTTCTACGCTTTTCGTGTTCTTCTCTAATGCAGTATATACAATTTAGCTCTTTTCCATTTGCAATACTCTTACAATTTGTAGCATTAACAAAACACTGCTGGTTATTGGAATACATTTTCTTGGGCCGTTTCGAATTATAGTACTATATATGTATGTATTTTTAACTGTCTGTAATATGTGTCTGTAAATGTAAAGTATACCCTAAAATATTGTATTTTATTCCAACGTATTTTAGTACTCTATTTGAGTCCCTATTAACTGCCGAAAAACTGCCTAACAGAAATACTGTCAAGTGGATTATTTCGTAGCATCAAACTATTAAAAACTGCTGCTTGATCATTATTCCTATGGCAGCTATATGACTTTAGAAACTCATGAATATTAAACAGTGATATCAGAAGCCCACTTGCTTTCCAAGTTCTGAGCTTTCAAGAACTGTACTCGTATATGTAGCTAATAATGTGTTTCTGAGCATTGCCTCATTGAAGTGAGATTAGTTTCTGTAGGCTCCTTCTATAGACTCTATAAGCGTTAGAAATAACCCCCATGCAGCAAGAGCTAGGAATTGATGGGTTCACTTATGGGTTGAATATTTCGCGTAGTTTAGTTAGCCTGAGCATTAAAATTTGGAGCCTCAACAGATATTTAATTTCAATACGGCGGTACAGAGGTTTATCATTTCAAGAACCAGCAGTGGCAGCGAGTATTGCAAGAGTGCGATATGTACAACTAATCGGCACTATAATATGTAGCATCTAATATAGATTTTTGCGAGAATTTTTTACTGATTTTTTACTGATGTTTTCATAACTGATAGGTATGTCCATATTTACAAAGTTCTCAAGGTATATAAGGTGTGTATTATAGTGTGTGGGTGTTTTTGAGTGTGGTTTGTGTGTGGTTGGGTGGTGTTTTAGGCAGTTTAAGCTTAAGCAAGGGGGCGGAAAGGGGTGCCACAATTATATAGCAATAAGTAAGCTGTGCTACTGTACTTATATATGCGGATTATTTTTATATACAAATGTAATTCGTAAAACAACAAAAGCAAGTGCAATAAGTAATTTACAAAACGTTAAAGAAACAATTTGAATAAAACTATTCAAAAATACGATAATATAGAATAGTAGTAAGAGAAAATGTGAAGCGCGCAGTCAAAAAAACTGTACAAAAAAGTGGCCAGGCACTGGGGCTGACTGTTTGCGAGGGTTGCTAGTGAGTTGCTTGAACTAGGTTTCGACTTTTGAACAAAATGTAAAGAGCGCTCACCGTTCGTTCGTCTTTGTTTATTTGAAAGGTTCATTTATATTATGTACTTGGTATAAAAAATGTTAAGTACGATAATAATAGTATATATATGTATATATATATATATATATATATAAAAACGAGGGTTGGGCTTGGGGCTAAGCACAAAAAATCGTTCAAGTCCCACACTCGCCACTCAGTTTAGTTAGTCGGGTTGCTTTTCATTTCAAACAACATATGAGTTCGTATTGACAGCATAATATTTTCGTTTATGTTTGTAATGGGACGCATAAATATGCTGCGATCTGCGAATTAAACAAATACAAAGAAATATATATATAGAGAAAGAGAGGAGAGAGAAAAAGAGAACGCATAATTTGAAGAGGATCTCAAAACATCGCTGAACAAAGGCACAAAACATAAAACAAAAATCAATAGAATATATGAACTTGAACAAATGAAGTACATACTCGAATCATAGATAAACACAATGAGCCTTCTTCTCAGCTAGGGTCTCAACTTAACTAGGTTCTATAAGATGGCAACTGTACCTTCTTTACTTTTATACTGTGGACTACGAAAGAGGGACTTTGTGTACTTACCCCGGGCGCGTTGGAAGCGCATTGAGTTTTTGGTATTTGTCAGGGATTTTGTTCGATTTTGGAAATATATAGTTTACAAAATATATTTTGGGCATATAGTATGTTATTTGTTTTCTGTTTTCTGTTTCTGCTGTTGTTTGTTTTTGTTTTGTTTCTTTTTGTTTTCTGTACAATTTATGATTTGTCCAGCTTTTAGCTTATGTGGTGCGTGCGCGTGATGTGCCTTTGGGCGTATCTCGTGGACGGTCCCGTGACTGTGGCATCTCGTTTACAAAGCGCTGGCCTACCGCTACATGGATGTAGTGGACAGTGTGTGTTGATGTGTGTGTGTGTGTGTGTGTGTGTGTGTGGTTGAGGTGTATTATAAAATTTCGATAATAATATTCAATGTTTAATTTTTGTCCACATTGTTGTTGTTTCCATTGCCAGGTTGGGTTGGGTGATTCGTGTTGTGTTTTCGTGTGGGTGTGGTGGTGGTGGTGGTTGTGGGTGGAGAAAGAGAGAGAGAGAGATGGGGAGTTTCAAGAAAGTAGAGAGTCACATAGAGAGATAGGGAATTCGTGGTACGGGTGAAGAAGAAAAAACAAGAAGAAAAAGAAGCAATAGTACAGATTAGCGGTGTTTGCTATATACAAATAAGAAATATGTTTACTACTAGAGAGCTGCTAATTCTAAGATTTTGTTTATTCTCAAAATCATATGCAAAGAAATTTTGTGATTTGAAATGAATGAAAAGTTAGCTCTCGAGTGCTCTGCATGTAGGTACATATGTATGTATGTATGTATTTTCAAAACTTCCTGCCCTCGCGGAAGCCACTCAAAGCGGGAATTCGTTTCGTCGCCAGACAACGCTCGTACATTTGTGCCAATTGTGTGATCAATAAAATTTTTGGTTATTATACGAATATGTACAAGAACCTCAAAAAAACTTACCTTTGACTCAAAAGAATGAATAAAATTGTAAAATTGATCGAAATGTAACTACAAAGTACCTAATTATCGCTAATTACTTTTTAGTCCGAAGGAAACTATTTCAAAATGATCGTTAAAGTAATGATAGATATAGATGGATGAGTGCTTATGGCAAAAATATAAAATGGAGCAATTAGAGTGAATAAATTTTTACTTAAGTTGAGTGTAAGAAGGCTAGCTAGACTAAATTAAAAGAAAGATGCAGCATTAAGAAAATTAAATAGAAATTTAAATCAAATGCAAAACCTCATTAAAGCATTTATATACTTATCATCATATCATATCATATACCGCCTCTAGAACGCAAGAAAATGCCCATAACATAAAAACAAATCCGAAAATACTTATGTATGTTTTAACTGTACTAGACAAAAGTTATATAAGTATTTTATGTAAATGGACACGAATCTCAACAAAACATTCGTCGCTTACAGTTGATTTAATAAAATGAGGAACATATTTATATAACGGGATAAGTCTTGAGTTCTGAGTATTGTATTCCTATTAATAGAAACGTATCCTTTGGATTTTGGGCAATGTGTTGTAGATACTTAATTACGATTTTAAATAACATATGTATTCATTCATATCACTCATTGTATATGAAACCTTCACACGAACTCACGAAACTCACCTCGCATTGTGACCCAACATTATGATGCTTCTGCAAATACAATTGAAAAATGTCGACACCATTTTTTATTTAAGAAGTAAGTACAGTATATAGCAGAGTAAGTTGTGTTTAGGTTGAAGGATAGAGACACAGAAAAAGATAAAATCACAAACACAAAATACAGACAGAGAAATTTAGAAATGTAGATTATGGCCGATTAGTAGTAAAGAACAAAAGGTACATACAAATAAATAGAAATGCAGGTCCTTAAAACATGCCAATTAAAAACGCACTTCATGTTTATGTAGATATTATTCATTAGGTTTAGATTTTCTATATTTAAGGGGGTTCGTATTTTATCGCTTAGTTTAAAAACATCAACAAAATATTGTCCAAAATAATTCATGTTTCATTCCATTTGAAACTCACCAGCTGAGATGTTTCGTAATAAAATAAACCTATATATAATGCCTATTTTCTAAATATAAACTAGTAGTTGGAAATACCATATATGTATATGTGATATATCACGTTTATACGATGCCTAGAAATGATAAGTTGATGTGGATTGAATAATTCAATCTCCTTATCACATCTATTTCCTTATCACATGTCAGTGCTAAGATCATACAAGCAAATCATTTGCGCACGAACTCATCAAATTTATCACGCATGAACTGTATTCTATGAACTGTTATCCTGTATCCGAAGAGTCAAGAATATACTAAAAAGTTAAAGCGCTGCCACAGACAGAAGATGACGTGGCAGATGGGCTTGAGGAGATGAATATAACTATTAAAGATGGGGCCACCAAACTTAGTGTAACTAAGAGAGCTACCAACTAAAAATAACCTCATTGATTCATATGGCTGCTATAGGACAGATCATTAGAAAAATCGCTCTAGAATGTACAGCTTTTTTGCATACGAAGATATCTTAAGTTTATAGTGTAAAAATGGTACATTAGGCTTGTGCACATTATATGAGACGGAAGCATCTTCGACCCCATAAAATATATATATAGTGAATCAGCATGACGAGAGAAATCGATCTAGACATGTCCGTCCCTCTGGATGAACGCAAGGATCTCATAAACTATAAAGGCTGGAATAACTAAAGTTGGTAGCCAGATTCTCCTAGACACAAGAAAGGGCGACTTTATTTTACTTTTTTTAAATTTTCCCCTCTTCCCACGCTACAGAGTTTCGTCAATACTGTCCAAATTTTAAAAGCTACATAAACCAAACTAAATACATATATACTTTTGTTTCCAATTTCAAAAAGGAGAAAGTTATTAGCGAATCAATTTCACTCTAGTACTACGCTCTTTTTCTTTTTTCTTCTGCTAAGGTATTTCACTGTCGGGCTTGCTCGACTGTAGCGTTCTCCTTTGTACGGAATTGTTGTTGGCATACTTTGAATTTTGATAAATTTGTGGCCAAAGTATTTGAGCTGCCATCCGACTTTGACGCTTCGTATAAACTTTGTTACAATTGTAGCTTTACTTGAAACTAAAATTTATAAAATATTTGGTGAATTTCAATGCGGGTTTTCCGCTTAAACTGCATTTCGTTTCCATTCAATTTATTTAACTTAAATATAAGAACTTAAGACAATAAACATATGCAGCAGATGCACGAGGGCCTGTCATTCGTTCATGCTGTCTTCTTAACAACTAAAATTAACACATAACTTTTGTTTATTGTTATTGTTTTTGGAAAGCCGGTGCATTTATTGTTTGTTCTGTTGCCAGCTGAAAAGGTGCATAAAACACAACCAAACAATATCAGCAACAAATCGATATCAAATACAACATAGTATTTGCAAGTCAATGCTCATTTCATAGCCAGGATAGATTTGTGTTCTGTATATAGTACATGTAAAGATGTCAACTTAAAAGAAACACTTATGTCGTATAACGATGATAGGATGAGAATTGAAATGTTAATGTACAAAAGCGGCGCATGTATGAACTATAGTATATAGTATGTATGAAAAGGGTCGGACAGGAGACCCACAACAAACAGCCAAAAAAAAGGAAAGAGCCTGCAAAACCATCCATTGCGTCGGGAACATTTGGACTTTAGTTATGTGTCTAACTAGAGTAACATTGGGTTTTAACTACGCAGAGTTTATGCGTGTAAGTGTGTGAGTGTGTGTGTTTAATTGTTGTATTGTTGGGTGGATTAACTATAGTTATATGTATAACCTCAGTAACAATTGTAACAACATCAAGGTTAAAGATACTTTATACAAATACACGTATGAGGAAAACAAAAAGGGAACATCAGTCGTTTGTGGTGATTAGTTGGGTTTATATTAACACTTGGGTGATTAAAGGTGTAGAGTTGAAACAACTTTGCAATGTAATTATCAAAAGTATCAACAACAATAAATATTTATATTCATATGTAACAACAGCATCAAAAACAACGAGAAGATTCTCAACCAACTGCGCAACAGCCTGAAGTAGTTGGTGTGTGTCTGAGTGTGTGTGTGTGTGTGTGTGTGTGGGGTATGTAACGCGTATATATTCTTATATATAACGATGAATACATATCTGATGTGTAAATTGGAAGGTATAGATTAGTATTGTAGTAGGGTAAGTATGCATATCTTTCAATATGTTCGGCGCAAAATTGCAAGCCAGAGTAGAGTGTTGATAAGTTTGTCATATTATATGGATAGATTATGTATTTATATAAATATATATAGAGGTAGATAGATAGAGAGAGTGAGAGAGAGGAGGTTTTTGGTATTCAGTCAGTAAAAAATCTGTGGTTTCAACTCATACAGTTCTTTATTTTATCGCTTTTTTTGTTTCTTTGGAAGCCTCTTTCTTACTGGTTAGCTGCCGAAACGGTGCCTACAATTCTAATTGTGTTTTGTTGTAAGTATTTTGCACTATTACTAAATAACATACGAGTATATGCATATGTATATAGAGTAAGTATATATGGTATAAGTATATTGTAATGGTATATCAAATTTTGGTTTTGGTTTTTGGATTAGCTTGTGTTTTTGGCCTACCGAATGAGCATAGCGAATTTCGGCTAATTCACAACAACATTGGTAACGGAGTATGGCACGAACGCTCTTTCTGCAAGATGTTTGTTTATATCAAAATTAAACAATTGTTTATGTAAATATTTGCAATTTGAAAAAAGAAACCAACAACAGTCAAATATTAAATGTTTGTCAAAATAGATGTATTACAATTTTATGTTTGGCGTCTTCAACTTATTAAGAGATTTTTTTTAGCGCTTTGTTAGCAATAAAAATAATTATAAACAATGGACTTGTATTTCGAGAGAAAGTTGCATAAAAAAACTAAGACCATTAAGAAAAGAATAAAATACATGATGTACATAAACGAAAAGCACGCACGACTTGTACTCACAAAGAAAATTAGCGTTATAATTGCACAAAATTAGTTTTTAAAGTAATTGTAAGGAAATCGGCCCTCTACTTACCGCAACAACCGCGTTATGTAATCGGGCCAATTTTCAGGGAACATAATTAGAAAGAACCCAATGCCGATAAGTATGACACCGGCTAGTTTCATTCCAGCAAATGTTGCGCTATACAATATTACGTCGAGTGCTGTAAATGGGAAGCGAAAACTAAAATCAGAGAGTCGCACCGACTTTTGAAGCTTCGAAATGCATCTCAACCGCACCAATTTAAAGAAAAATTGTCCCTCGAATATATATCTACTTATATATTACTTTGTCAAAAGGTGCAATCTAATATTTGAAACTTTTTTGTTGCTGATTACGTTAGTCTATATATTTTCCATATAGTTTGAAACTAAACAACAGAGGATTTTTGTTTATTCAAATAAATGAGGCATTATTATTATAAGTTTGCAATATACTATTTAAGGAGACTGATATGTCAACCATTAAGAAGAACATATATAGTCGAGAAAATTATAGTCACACCACCACTATACTTATCTTATCTAAGGACTATTTTTGTTCGTCATCTTCAAATATTCGAGGTGGATTCTATAAAATTACGATGAAATCAACACCATCCTTAACCCATATGCAGTATAGTATGTTTTTGAAATCTACATTCACGCTAGCACCTAAAGAAGTGTACGTACCACCAGAAACGGGCACTGCCGTAATCAGACCCAATGTCACAAACATGTTGTAGGTAACGGCGGCACTGAACTGCATCAGAACGTGGAAAACTGCAAGCAAAAGTAATAATAGCGATAAGAGTCCATGGAAAGAAAGGGAGAAGGAAAGGCAAAGAGGCAGCAGGTGCAGCCCACAAATCGTGTATGGATGTTCCTACCCAGGAGCAGAACGCTAGCCGCGAGCAGAACATGCCATGGTATGCTTTCTGATGACAGGTTTTCCGTGCCTGTCAAGTAGAGCGCCAGCACGACAGGCCACAGCAGTAGAGCATTGAGAAAGCCGAGCGTGGTGAAGGTGAACGCTATTTGGCCCACTGGTGGATCGCCCATCACCTTGCGAAACATAACCTAGAATGCCAGAAGTGGGTGATTAGGGATGGTCCTCAGCACGATACGGCTGACTTACCCTAAAAACAGCATAGCCAGCTGCCGCCAAGGTGGCCAGCACCACGCCACTGAGCGTGCGACTCTCGCCGGTGATGCCGTCCATGTAGGCCAGCAGCGCGATGCCCGTGTCGCAGAGTATGACGGCCACAATCTGTGGAACGGCAGACAAATGTCGGGCAGTTGGGTCAAATGTCAGTTGTTAGATACTTACCCGTACACCGACGAACTGCTCGTGCAGTATGACCCAGGAGAGTAGATAGACGCATGCCACATTAGTGGCAAACAGAGCCAGCGAGTCTGTGGCGAAGAGCACGTGCAGCGACAACGTGTAGAGATATGTGGTCACCAGCCACAATATGCAGAAGGAGAGACAGCGATTGAGAAATCGCCCTATTTCGAAAACAGAAACCAAAGTCAGTATGTATCGGTATAAGTCTTGCGATCGAAGAAATAACTGTTTCTCATATTGAATCGCAAATTATTTAAAAATTCTAGTTTTCTAGAAAACCAAGTTGCGTTTGAATCGATCTTATAATTATACCCTGTACCCGTAGGGTAAAAAGGGTATATTAGGTTTGTGCAAAGTATGTAACATGCAGAAGGAAGCATCTCCGACCCCATAAAGTATATATATTCTGAATCAGCATGACGAGAGAAATCGATCTCGACATGTCCGTCCGTCCGTCCGTATGGATGAACGCAAGGATCTCAGAAACTATAAAAGCTGGAACAACTGAAGTTGATATCCAGATTCTCCTAGATCCGAGAAAGGACGAGTTTATTTTATTTTTTGGAATCTTCTCCCCCTTCCCCCGCTACAGAATTTCGTCAATAGCGTCCACATTTCAAATGCTACCTAAACCAAACTTTGCACACATAATGTTTAAAATGTTCGGTCAATTCTAAGAAAAGTTATTAGCGAAACAAATTCTCTCCAGTACAACCCCCCAGACTGCAGCATCATGTTCGCTCTTCTTCTTCCTCTTTTTGCTTCTGCTATGGGCGCATATACCCCAGTGTCGGGAGTTTACCTGGGTACAGGGTATTTCACTGTCGGGCTTGATCGACTGTAGTGTGCATCAGAAAAAAAAAAAACACAAGCTCGTCCTTTCTTTTACCCTTTTGGATACAGGCTATAAAAATTAAAAGTCCGAACAAATTAACAAATTTGATCGGCCTAAGGCTTAGGGGAACCTGCATACCAAGTATGGTAATTTCAGCTCTTGTATCTTGAGAGATCCTTTCGTTCATACAGACGGACAGGCAGACAGACAGATGGACATGGCTATATCGACTCGTCTTGTCATACTGATCAAGAATATATGCATGCATATGTACTTTTAGGGGTCTGCTTCCTGTGTGTACATTCCCACAAAACGTTGTGTTGAAATGTGATTCAATGAGTTGTTATTGCTATTATAGAACTAATGATAATGTGTACAACATTTGTAGATAATACGACTCCATTAAATGACGATTTTGAAAGTAACATACCTATGGTAAAGCCGCGCTCGCGAAATCCTCTCAGGACATCACCCAAAATTTCACTGAGTTTGTTGCACTTGCGGGCCGACATGCTGCCCAGCACGTAGATGGGGAAAAAGAGTAGCGAAAAGTTGGTAAAAAACCAGGCGGCAAAGAATGGTGCGCTAAAGTAGACAGGCTGGCGCGGTGGTATATTGAACATCTCGGTGGCGTCCTCGACGTGATGCATTGACGTTTCGCTGATGGCCAATATATTCTCGATCTCGCTGCTCAATTCGGCTCGACTGGAAGATGTGTCCAAGTCATAATCAGAGTCGTCATCGTAGGGCGCTTGATACAGGTACATGTACTTAATGCAGTGTGTGGCGCCCACCCATGAGGCGGTCACGAAAATGGTCACGCAAACGCCAAAGTACATCTGAAATAAATTGAAAATGACAAAGTTTCTGGGTTTTGGCACCTCTACATAGCTCCGCTCAATATTTGGAAGAATTGAATGAAGCCCGGGAACTTGAAGATGTACCTTCTGTGCCAGTTCGGAGCAGCAAGACTCTTTGCAGGCTTTGAGCTTTTTGAAGCGCACTTCCGCCGCCTCCTCCCCCAAGGACGTTGCGCCATTCCCATGCTGCTGCAGGTCTATTGTTATTTGTGTATGTGTGTCCGACGAGTCGTTGCCGCTGCCGAAGTGTTGTGCGTTATGGGCGGTCGGTGTTTCCGCCTGTATGGTAATGACCTCATTGGGATCCTGTTGGCTCGATGATATCGAATCCTGGTGGGTTATTTGTGGATTACTTGTGTTAAGCACATTGCTGAAGCCGCAGCTGCTGCTTGTAGTGGCGCCACCGGCACCACCACTCCCGCCACCACTGTTGTTATTATTATATGGACCATTCGAGGAATCGCCAGTGACCACCACCGATGGCGTGCGCACACGTTTCGGATTGAAGATGGCTGGAATTTCGCCGTCGCGCGTCATGCTATCGTTGTACTCCTCTAGTATTCATAGCGCACAGACGATGCACCTTCCTTCCTCGCGTGCTGCACCCGCAGCTCAATCGCCGGACCTGTAAAAAGACGTTCGGTTAGCTAAGAAACGTGTGGCATTCCTCACGTGCCTGCCCCGATTAAGGAACGCACGCAACGTAGGTACAAACACAACTTTATGGCCGCCATGCAGGCAAGCGAAACAAGCGAAGGGCGCACCCGTAGTCTCCATGTACAGAACTAAATACTGAGGCTGAGGTTAGAGGTTCTAGGCCCACCCGCGACTCAGAACGGTAGCCTCCATACATTTTTCAACTGCACAGATTTACACTCAGGAAAATGGTAAAAATAAGTTCACATTGGAGTGAATTTATACATTGTTTTTGGTTTTGATGAAACATAGATGTTATGGTTTAAAAGTTCGCAGAAACGAATAAACGAAGCGAAACGAATGCATTCGGACAGCAGTCCATATCGATTTGCAAATCCCACTTCTTCCTGCTACGTTTATACTTTCTAGTGCACCGTTGAATACGCGGTCGATATTTGCACATTATTCTATAATAAAGAAATTAGCTGGAAATATCAGCTATCTGGACCTCTATGCAAAGGCAATTTAAATGCGCCGCTGGAGGCCCGTAGCTCAAGGAAAGTGGTTTCGTGGCTAAATGGCCAACTGACCGCTCAATCGTCTGTTTCCGCACCCCCCATTGTGCTCCATCACCTGCACTTAAGCCTTTATTCGTGCCCGTCATTCATTAAAATTCTGCCCACTGTTTGCAGCTCTTGGCCAAATGTCTGCTGGGAAGCATAACATTGATTCGCATGTTTTTCCATTGGCTGTGCACAATCTATTACAAGTGCGTGGGTACACGTATATACCCTACTCTTCTAAATGTGTGTTACATAAGTATATACATACATACAAGTACAGCAGAAATTATGAATGCCTGGGCGGGCAGGTCAAGTTGAGCCAAAGTTAACGTCATAGTCAACGTTGAACAATAAACAACGGGCCAATTTGTTAGACATTTTAGTGCAGCATAAAATGTGACCTTGTACCGAAAATCTAGACCCACTTGCTCACAATATGAGGGTCCTTAGTCTTCCGCCACGATGTGTTCACTTTTCTTTGATAACGACCTTCTAATTGAAACATTAATTATTCAAGAACAGGCTATTCATAGCATTCGCACAACTTGCCAGCTCAACTTATTAGCCATAATGCCCATGTCACTCTACCAAACTGAGCTGAATAGCTTAAGCTAATTACATTTAATGCGCAAATTTGCATATTATTGATGGCACTGACCGTGGGCATTGCTAATTGGTAATAACATAAGGCAATCGATTATTTTTAACTGGCTATTAATTTATAATATAAATTTGAAATGCTTACGAGTAGTATTTTCAAGGAGTATAATCATGAAGCCACGAGCAGTATTGCAACCATTTCGAAATCCTGCACATAACTGATGCAGCGAACGATAATAAAGACATTAAAAGCGTTACCGAAACTGAGATTTAATGAAAAGTTACCAGGACTGCTTCAGTTGACAAAAAGTAAAAGTTGGAATGGAGCTTAGTTTATCATTATGTTTGGAATCTGATTTAAACTTTGGGAGACCTAGAAGAGAATATCTCAATCCCCTGATTTATTGTTTCTACGATAAACGATTTCGATTTACTGATAGTTCATTTTTAAACCAAATCCTTAGTTCTCGCATTCCCTACGAAGGCCAATTGGTGCTCAAATTTCTGTTTTCTGTTCCAGTGGCTAAAGCTGCGCGTTGCTAACGGTAATGAAGGCTAATTCTTAAAATGTTTACTATATAATCACATATTATAATATATATTTATATATGTTTTGGTAAATATTAACGATGATATATTATAGCAGTCAGCAATGACTGGCAAGGAATAATTTGTGGTAATTAAGGGCGATTGTACATTTACTGGTAAAGTTCTAGATTACAGATTTATTATACCCTGTACCCAAAGGGTACAAGGGTATATTAGTTTTGTGCGAGTGCACATGGAACACACAGAAGGAGGCTTGCTAGACCGCACAAAGTATATATATTCTTGATCAGCATGACAAGCCGAATCGATATAGCCATGTCCGTCTGTCTGTCTGTATGAACGCAAGGATCTCCGAAAGTATAAGAGCTAGAATAACCAAACTTGGTATACAGATTCTCCTGAGACCGAGAAAGGACGAGTTTGTTCATTTTTTCTGATCCACCCCCTCACTCCCCCCTATTAACGATTTTCTATAACTCCCGTAATTCTTGGAATTTTGAACTAAAATTTGGTAGTCACATTAGGTTAGTGATTATATATCCGTATACCAATAGAATGATAGAATGATCGGAAAGAAAGTTATAGCCATATAACCAGGCCCAATGCACACATACATACATATGTACAAGTACACAAACACGCATAAGGCACGATTCTGATGTAAATGTATGCATGCATGGACTATTTTATATTTAATTTAGTTAATTAATTAAATTTATTTAGTTAATTAATTTAATTAAATTAATTAATTAATTTAATTACTTTTTTGTGGGGTGGTATTTAAGAGTTGAGCCTGCTCGACTTTAGCATTCCTTTCTTGTTTCTTAATACAAAACTTGTTTTTTATACCTTGTACCGCTTTTTACCCTACGGGTAAAGGGTAGGGGAGGGGAAGAAAAACCCCAAAAATAAAATAAACTCGTATAGAGTAGGGACTAGGAGCGTCTGCATACCAAGTTTGGTTAATTTTCGCTCAGTCGTTTCCGAAATTCAGGCGTTCATCCAGACAGATAAACGGACATGTCTAGAACGATTTCTCTCGTCACGCTGATATATATAGAATATATACACTTTATGACGTCGGAGATGCTTCCTTCTGCCTGTTACATACTTGCACAAACCTAATTTACGCTTTCTTCCCTACAGATACAGGGTATAAAAACACAAACTGTTTTGGTGGTGCACAAAATTGGGCCAAAGTATTGAAAAGATGGTTTTGTCGGGAATGTAAAGCATTTCAGTTTTTTTTTTAATGCTGGAAGTTTTTTTTTACAACTTTCAATTTGTTTACCAATAGCATAAATTCACCCTATTTGTTATCGTTTGAGAAAGTCCATTGTTGTAATTTTATTGAATTTGTTCCAAGTTAATGGTTACAAGTTTATTTCTTTAAATTTGGAGAATTTCATTGAATACTTTTGTATATGAACAGTTTAGAGCGAGATACAAGAATATCAATTAAGGCATAAAGGTAAGAAAAAGTCAATAAATGCTCATTCAGTCAAAGTTGTATTAAAGCTTAATTTTCGTACTTCATTTATATTTAAAAGTAACAAATAATAACAGCCTTAAGCCATGTATAAATTTATAATGATGAAATATAATACGAGTCCATTGATTATGGTTGTAATAGCTCAATAGTTGTTCAAACGAATTTTGAATTTGTTGACTTATACAATATGTACAATTTGAAATGGGATATGTTTACAAAAGACTTGTAATCAACGTTATTGGGACGTAAATGTTAGCATATTAAACAAGTCACGACGTTTCCCCCACTCAGAACGAGCTTCATCCGAATGCTCAGGTGTGAGCTTTCTCGTTGAAAAATGAATGCACTCTTGTTTCGTTGAAATGCAGCTTTCAGTTTCTATTAAGCTAGGCTTTTGAACTGAACAGACGCTTAGGAACGCTGCATTAATATGAGAGTGACAACTTTTATGAATCTAGTGGCGGCTTTAATTCTTATCAGCTCCAACTATATTAGTGAGTACTGAGATCATCATAAATGTCTTTAGTAATTGTGGCGTTATAGCTATTGTTCGGGCGGAGTCTGACTGTGGCTACCTGGAAGAGCGTCTACTGTACAACACTAAAACCGAAGCCGAGCCCACGGAATATGTGTGGATGGGCCTGCTGTTGGACTTAAGAGGAGCCAAACAAGAGCTGAGTCCAAGTGCAAGACGAATAAATTGCAACGTCATTATAGTAAGTGGCCAGCACGTCCTGGTGCCCAACTCGTGTTTGAAGCGCTTTAATAACCAGCCAGCATCAATCGGAGTGCTACTGGGTATATGGAACCAAAAGCATAACAGTTCCGAGGAGTTCATTTGTAATGATAAAGGTTTTTGTGTGTTCGCGCCTGTGCCATATCAAGTAACAGAGATTAAGGTAAATCCCCTAGCGGATAAAGATACAGGAGATAACGACGTGGCCCTTCTTAAACTGGCTGAACCCATAAAGATGACGATCTATGCAAAGCCCATTTGTCTACTTGCTAGAAATGAGCTACCCTCACTGACCGATCGGAATTTTCAATATGGTGGCTTTGAAGGCTTGGGCTCGCTCAAGGGCAAGGGTGATGGCCTGGTCGTATCGAGAAATCTGTGCAATGGCGTACCCGCGGCTCCACCCGAAAATCAATTCTGTGCTTTTCCCGAGAAACGAACACCCTTCTATTTGGGCACTGCACTCATGGGTCTTAATATTGAGAATGATGTGCCCCGGAGTTTCTATCTGATAGGCATGTTGATGCGCATTACCACGTACAAGACGGGGCTGACAACGTTTGTGTTTCAAGATATGCGCAAATCGCGCAATTGGATACTGGAGAATATATCTACGCTCGAATAAATAAATCCTCTATACACACCTATCAACCTTGTACACACTATTTTCAGTTAAATAAATATGTTTATGAGTATCTCATATTTTTATTAGGCCGTGTTTTTCTCTACCTCTAGAAATAATCATAATCGAGGTGCACGGCAAACAGGTTTAGAACACTGCGCTAACGTTTTAATCATTCTCTGTAGTTTTTATATAAAATACGAGTCATTTATTATTAAAATGGTCTGTTCCATTAGTTCGTGAATAGTTTTGATGATGTTCGTTTGTAGGTTGGTAAAAATACGTCCTGGTCTCATACATATAAATTTCTACTAACATAACTAACAACATTCATTACGTAATCTTCTTCGAATAAATATTCCAGACTTAATGCATAATCTCAGAAATTTGAAGTTTCCCCCAGAAACTCTTGGACAAGATAATCAGCAACAAAAACAAAGGAAGACGGGTGGCATGAACTGCATCCATAACCTACACTGCCAATCTGAAGACAGATAGTTAATAAAGATGGTTATTCATAATGTTGTTTGTCATATTGAATTAAATCCACTGACCTTCAAATATCAACAATAACAACAATATCAAATCATGACCATGAAGTTAATGAAGTAAATCTTTTTACGAGTAAGACATGGTTCTGTTTGTACTGAATAATCAAACAGCCCCCTGTCCTTCTTTATAATTAGATTGTCGTAGTTGATATTTCTATGGGAAAACCCCAACCAGTCACGAATTCACCCCTCGAACAGCCCTCGACATGAGCCAACATTCTAAGCTAAGTATCATGCTGTGGAGCTTTTTCGCATCTCAGTTGGCTTTCAAATGCGCCAGAGAATGCAAGCTGTAATATTTTTGTTGTGTACAATTGGCTTCGTGGGCATCGTGGGGCAGCTGAGGGCAGATGATGGCAAGTGTGGGTACTTCGATGAGGTACAGATGCACAAACAGGATAGCTTTGCAGTGCCCACAGAACATCAGTGGCTGGCCCGCATTGCCTATAGCGACAGTAGGTGGAAGATAATTTGTAACTATACTATGCTCTCTAACACTCTAATTGCGTCTAGACAACCATCAAGTGCCCACTGGTGGGTGTATGGCGGTGCTAATTTCTAAGCGTAGCCTTCTAGCTCCAGCCCACTGTTTTGTCCGGTTCGAGAGCAAGCCGGAGGCATTCTCCGTGCACTTGGGAGTCTGGAATAAGACGGCTGATGTGAATCAGCCCACTTGTTTGAATGGATACTGCGTGCTGCCCGCACAGGAAATAAAGCTGGCCGAAATAAGCATACATCCCGAGTACGATCCGCTAACATTCAAGAACAGTCTGGCGGTGCTGACCCTGCAGAAGGATGCCAAGCTGACGGCGAATGTGCAGCCAGTTTGCATGCCACCGCCCAGTGTAGCCAACGACACCCTTGTGGGGCAAATGTTTATGCTGGCCGGAATTCCGGTGAACAAAGTCCTCAAGAACAAGTCTTGGGTGAAGACGGTCAGTACGCCCTGGTGCCAGAGTAAGCACAATTCCCTGCTTACCAGCAGCACCATGGTCTGTGGCTACTTGCAGCAGAGCGAGTTGTACCACCTTGGCGCTCCAATTGTGGCTGTGCAGGTGGAAGGGGACCTGCCCAAGAATTTCTATCTGGTGGGACTGCAAATGGATGTGCTGCGTGTGCCGAACACACAGCGCTATGTGGCCAGTTTCCTCGATGTTCGGCCCTACTTAGAGTATATCAACAATAATGCCATTTTCGACTTGAAATAATTCGTTCATAGAGTGTTTACAAAGGAAGAACTTGTTCGATTCCATATTAAAATGACACCCAACTTTGAAATTCTACAAAACCTATAGTCTATGAGTACACGATGTCGGAGCATTTGGCTACCAACAAGAGGCCTGGCTATACTCGTACATTAATTATTCAGTCTGGCTCGAAATTACGCGACTCCCCAGCTGCTCACCGCCCATGCTTATGTAAAATGCAAATTGTTCATATATTTATAGCATTTAAATGAACTGACGCGAAAATTGGTAAGACGGGCAAAAAGTGGAATGCGGGGTAGACAAGCGTCGTTTAATGTGCAAAATATGGAAATTAAAGTTGTTTTGAAAAATTGGCTAACACTGACAGTAGAAGGGCCTGACGTCTGGCGACAAGTCGAATGCAGCAACGAACAGCAAGTGACAGGATCTGAACTACGAACTTGCCGGCGTCTAAGTCTCTAGGTGTTCCATCCAAATCCCAAAGAGTCTTCTGAGACTATGTCTGTAGTTGTATTTGGCGCGAGCATTCAAATACTGATAAGCAATATCGTTGACCGATGTCAGTCTTAAATGTAGATAACCGTAGTTTAGAAATTTGTTTTCAAATGCTGCAAGCTAATTGGAATTTTCTTACTTATGTATGCAGGTACAAATTTCTTTTCGTGTATGGCGAATGGGTTGAAGACTTTTTGGCCAACTGCCAAAGTCTTACAGAACTTCTGCAAATGTCAGTTTAATAGATTGATGGGGGCGCTTCGGTTGCAAATATGTACACCACAAAATACGGATAGTCTGGATCAGCATGGCGTGTCTCTATGAGCACATACATAACCATACTAGAATGTCTGTGAAAGCAATTGTTGTAGAAGCGAAATGTGCTCTATTAACTGAAATAATTGGAGATGGTTGTTGTGCCAAAATGTGCACTCGACTGGCAACTGTTTGAGCAGCGAACATCTGCCATTATAATCAACATAATGTTTGCTTTGCAGGACAAAGAGCGACTCTCGTGCAAGGATGTCGACGCTAATGCACAGAACTATAATTTTAATGCATACATTTAGGCGTCAAATTGCTCTATAAAGCAGATGCCTTCACGTTTCGTTTGTTTGCTTGCGCGCGCCACTGAGCGATGTGCAAAATAAAAATCACAATAAAATTTAAATTGCCAAACAAAACACGGACGCCAAGAAACGTGCTGCCCAAGAAACCAGCCAGACAAATAGCCGGACAGATATACAAGTAGAGTGAGAAAGAGAGAATGATGGTGAGAGAGGGGGGGACGGGACTACGCAAGATTCTTGACAGTAGGTGTTTATTGCCGTTTTGTTTTGAAATCAAAACAAAATTTAAACAAACAGCTGCACAAGGCGCCAGAGAGCGAGCCACACGGGGAGGTAGAGAGCCAGAGAGAGCTAGAAAGAGAGAGCGCACGAGTGGGTGAAAACACTGCAGAGAGAGCGCGTGGGTGCTGGCCCCAAAAGTAAACGAGCTTACAGCAACAACAGCAAAAATAACAAATACAACAAAATTCGCGCAATGGTCGAGGACGACTCGGCGTGTACGCAATGTGACATTTTTAGTGGTTATGGTCAAGCACAATGCTTCAACACACACACGCACATACAAATACACAGACAGTAAAACAGGCAGACAAACAGACAGATAAGCACACAATAGTAAACCGAAAATGAAAGTGACACACAGCTGCGTGGCGAACAGTAGAACAGACGCCAGTCTTGAACGTTCAGACACCTGCAACAATGGAAGGCGGATGGATGGGGGAGAGTAGGCAGGATGGGGGTAGTAGGCGGCCACAAAACGCGCACTTGAAAATTGAAACGAAACGAAACGCGCGCCAAGATGTTTCAATTTGAATGTGAATGTGGCAGCGGGTGGTTACCTTGGCCAACGGCACAAATACAAAGGCACAGCAGTTGAATGGGCCCACTCCTAAGGCATAGGAGGGCCAGGTGGGACGAGATGGACACACACACACACATACACACACAGCTTGGTAATAGGTTGGCTTGACTTGCCTCGTAGGCATGTCAAAATGTAACGCTTGAGACTGTGTGAGTAACTTGGCTCGAATTTTCGCCAGCTTGCCTGCCACTTGAATTTTTCATATTGTATACACAAAGGGAAATCTCTCACACATATGCACACACACACATAAACACATATGGCCTTTTGAAGCCCTTATCTGCAGGACGTCTAGAAGAAAGTTTTTCTTACAAACAAACAGATATAAATTGTTTTTAGAGACAAGCACAATTTCCACGAGCGCTTTTCACACTCTCGTTATGAATGCTCACACGTTTGTTAAATGATTTTATATAATTTACTTAAGCACCTATTGACATTGTGCAGGGCATGGGCATTGGGGCGTACACTGAAACTTTACGCAATTCCTTGCACTTTGCTGTTGGTGGCGCTTACATAAATAAATAAATAGATAAATAAATGGGAAATGTGAGTTTGCGCGTTTTTTCTAATTTAATTAAATCGAACACATTTTTCGTGTAACATAAATTTGGAGGAACATCGCTGCCAAAAATCTAATATTGTGCGGTTAGGGATACACAAAACTGACACGCACACAAGCTTCCAAAAACTTGGCCAGGCACATACACACACACACCCACATATAAGTATATCTATGCACATACACAAACACATACGCGTCTTTTTTTCCTTGGCCAACGCAACTGCCACTTAAAACGCCTTTTGACTACTTTTCCTAGGCACAAGGCATACAAATTTGTAACAGTTATTTGCTGCTATGCCGTCGCCTTCACCGTCAGTGTCGCTGTAGCTCCGCTGCTGGTACTATTGTTTTCTTGAGCTCTTTGGCCCCGCTGCCAATGTTGGTTAGGCACAACGCGACGCGTCACGTAGTCTGGGTCGTCGTTTCGGGGCAGGAATCTCAACGTCAACTGACTCTGTTGTTTGGCTCGAAAATATGCCTGAGCGCGATTCGGTCAATCGGCCATGGCAAGTTGCAGTAGCGGCGGCCAAAGCTTCGCTTTGCTCTCTCTCTCCCATTTTCCTGAATTTCCTCAAAAGCACTCTCTCTTCACATAGCGTGTGTGTAAAGAAAAACACTTGTTATGCATTTTCTTTACTTTTTTGTGTGTTTTTGTTCAGTTCTTTACTTTTATTTCCGCTTCGGAACTGTAAGGGCACCATGCCAAGGAGCTACATGGGGGCTTTGTTTACGAATATGTTTTTGCATTCAATAAATAGTTGGATAACTATTTTAAATTCTAGATATGCAGCTGAATTTCGTTTTTTCTTGCTGCGGAAATGTAGTTGAAATGTTTGATAGGTGTTTGTGGATGAGGTGTTGGTTCAAAAGGTAGTTAATACGAGCTTCAGATTTGGAAAAAGAAAAAGAATTTAATCAAATCTTAATATTGATCTAATTACGGAATAACACAATCAAGCACGTTTTTAAAAGCTCTAAATACGAAAAACGAAGACAACTCCAAGGTTATCCTAAAAGTAGAACCGATCTGCACATTCAAGATGAGTTTACAATGTCTTTCAGTCTTTGTAATAATTGGATAGTCAGTTCCAAATTGTTTAGTGATACTACAAATACCGATCGGCGTTCTATAGTTAACAATTCCTTTTTTCTAGACCCAGTAAGTTTGACATTATATTTCGTGTTGTATATTTAATGCCAGAAACAATATGGTGTTTTTTTTCACGAAAGACACTTGGAACGACAATTTAGCTTCTACCCTATTTGTAATCGATCCGTCTGGCCTTTTAGAGACGACTAGCCTACTAAAGGTTTTTCTGATGGAAAAGGGCACCTTTCTCCGTAAATTACATCAGCTTTGTTTGTAGAACCCATCGGAGCTATAATGATGCGATCTGCTTTTGAATATGTCTCAGTTGTATAAACGGAGCGAGTGAGCGAAAAGACTGATGCGCGTTTGATGATACTAATGAAGCCGTGGGAGCTCTACCACTTTGTTGATCTGATCTCGTTTGAATAAAATTTAGTTCAAACACATGCCAATATGTTTATGCAAATTCTTGAATGTAATGCCATTTCTTCGTCTAATAGCTAAGCAAATTTGCAAAAAAATGCGCATGCTGTGCTAAAAAAAAAAGAGTAGATTTCTTTCATTGATAAACCAAAAAAAGGTTATGCATTTTTAAAATAAAAGGGTGCTGTTATCCCCTCTATATGACCAAAACACAGAACGTGATCATTTCCTACACACCTACAGATGTAACATACTTATCAAACGAACTATCAGTCAACAACTTTTTTTTGGCAAATTAATTGTGTAATCAAAGAAATGCTAATTTTCTTAGGTAGAGTTGTCAAAAGAGTTACTTTTGCCAGCAGCCAGCGGCTAAGTGGCCGACAGACTTTCGACACATAAAAAATTGGGTTAGTTTAGCGTTAAAAAACATAAATTTAAAGCTGCTTCCTACGTAAACGGCGACTGGTGTTAACTTGGCGCAGTGCCTACACCTATGACGAATCAATTTATGCGCTTGTTTGCAAGTTAGCCAACGATTTATGCAAATATGTACTAGAGCTGCCGTAGGCAAGCTCTACGGGAAAACTTTCCCTAGGTGGCGAATTCTTTTTGTTCTTTGATGGAAGAACACAAAATAAAATATAAAACAGTCCGGTCTATAAGTTACGGTCAAAAAGGCATAAATACTAAACTCGTAAAATTGAATGGATACAAGTCTATGCCAAAAAATCTAGGTTGCTCACTAATATGGTAAGAAAGTGAGCTAAGAACACATACATTTCAGCCGGCGCTTCAGTTGGCTGTGGATTCCCAACGATAGCACACGATACACAGTATTGTTCCGGCCAGCTTTGGATTTCACGCGCCTTATTGCTTATCTTTACAGGTACTTATAAATGTAGAGCTTTTATTAGTCATGTCCTGCACAAAGGACGGTATTAAGTCTTAAATAGAATTCATCAGGAATATTGCTTACAAAAATATGGAAACCCTTATGAAATATCCGCAACTTCATAAGAGGGTCTTTAAAGTGAGTCCATTACGCAAAATATACGTTTCCATTATCTTTGCGACGAATAGAATACGTCTGTATTTCTTACCGTAAGAAGAAAATTTGCTTTATCAAAATAGGTTTAGTTTGGTGCATTGTTTAAAGTATAGAATGTAAAGAGAACTTTGACATTAGTGATATTTAAATTCTATACTTTATATTCCTCAGTGGAGGCCTGTGCGCGAGTGCTTTTATTCTTAATCAAGATCTCGTAATACAAACATACGTACACATCCATATCTAATAAATAAAATTGAATGTCTTTTATCGACAAGAATGTGGCAAAAACTGGTTGCTGCGTTGGTGCTGCTGCAACTCCTGTCATCCTACTTACCAAGCGGATGGCAAGCAGCGGGAATATCAGTGAATACGGTTCTGCAGAAACCACATAAGGACGGGTGAGCATAACATATAAATAATATAAATATATTCAAGCTTACAACTTATGTGCTACATCCATTAGAGAGGCGGACGATACTCTGCATTTAGCGGGCACAGCTTTCGACTATGACTATGCGCAGGACTCTCGCAGCAGCGGTGGCTATAGGCGGCATTGGAAACTCCTACCAGCCCGTGTGAGACAGGCATCAACAACAACGGAACGTCCGCTAATTCGTGTCTGGAATAGCATTGTGCGAAGTGTTCAGCCCGCGTTGAATTTTCGCAACTTGACTTTGGTAAATCCCTTGGCTAACTTTTTTAATGATGGCAATGCCAACATTATAGAAACGCCGCCTGTGGAGGAGGGCTATCAAGAACAGGCACAGGCAGAGTTGCTTGACTATGTAAGCAATACAGCAGAGCGCAGGCGTAAAAAGAAGCGCAAAGAACAGAGGCGTCGACGCCCAGGATACGATTCCGATTACATTCAGTCGCCCAGCTATGCACAAGACGATCCGTCAGAGGCTGGAGAGCAGTACGGCTATTATAGTCAGAGTCGGCCGTCTCCCATGTTCTACTACGATACCAACTCAGGCAATTTCTATGGCGTGCAACGTTTAGGGCCACACATCTATCCCAATCATGGCAATTTCTTTGGCAACTATTATCCATCGCCTGCTCTGAATAGATGGCATAATTATGGTGGGTACCAAGCCAACAGTTTGGGAAAGCTGAATACGAAGAAGCTGGCAGTGCTAAGGCCTTATGCTAGTGGCAAGCCATTGAAATGGACTACACAGTTGATCAATGAGAGACCAGCAGAGACTGAGTCTAATAAAGAAGACGAGTTGCAGACTGCAGATAATGAAATGCACGATTCGTCTGTGGCGCACGAAAATACAGACGAAAACAATGAATCCGACGATGGTGATGATGATGATAAAGATGAATCTGACGCAGACACCGACGATTTTGACATGGCACCAGAGGTATCTGAGAGCATGCGCAATACACTGGGCAAATATTTACTTGACTATAAGTATAAACAATCTTCGATCCCTCTTACGAGAAATTCAAATGAAATGACGTCGCATTCCAATAGAACGCCGATGCATCAGCGACGAAAACGTGTGTTTTGGCTGCGCGCCTGGTGATCAATTTGTAATAATTTTTGTTTAATATGAATGGGTATCAATATCTTTGCGTTATGAAATGGACATGAAATCTGAAAATAAATTATACGTTGAACGTTAATATTTTACTATTACACACATATACCTTATAGGTAACAAAGATAGGCAGTATAACTCACATATAAGAAAATAACACTAGACAGCCTAGCATTTAGTTAAAAGTTCCGTTTCATTTGTGGCAGTGCTTGAACGAGGCGTAACATTTGGTTCCACTGGCAGCGCTACGTGCGAAACGTGTTCAACGTTGTTGAAGTATTTGTGTTGTAAAGCATCCTTTGCAGAAATTCGCAGGTTTGGATCATAGCAAAGCATTGACTGTGTTTTGTAAAGCATAATTAGAATTTTATGATGCCTGGCTTGATGTTTGGCACTTACCATAATGAGATCGTGCGCCTCGTGGTTACGTAGAGCAGAGGGCACATTGGTGGCCTCCCACCTAGGAAATTTAGCCTTGAAGTCGGGCAGCTGCGTTACCCCCGGCCATTTGCTTTCATCAGGTGTGCTAAGCGTCCGAAAGATACGATACAATTGATCGATCTCGCTATCGCCAGGAAAGAGGGAACGGTGCATAATCTGTAAGAGTTTTGCCAGGTATACATAATTATTAATTCTATTTTAGCTAGCCAGTGCATATTTGTTTCGGTCAGCAATTTCGCAGCAAAAATCAAAAAACTAGTTGGGAAAGGTTGTTAAAATATCTCACCATTTCGGAAAAGATGCAGCCCAGACTCCAAATATCTACGCCGGTGGAATAGAATTTCGTGCCAAGCAATATTTCCGGGGCTCGATACCAAAGCGTTACCACTTCATGTGTATAGGCTCTCATTGGCACATTGAAGGCACGGGCAAGCCCAAAATCAGCCAACTGAAAAAAAGGGTTTTCAACGATGGTAATAAGAAGTGTTTTCTTAGCCGGATTGGAGAAGACTATGGCAGGCTACCTTAATGTTGCCCGATGTGTCGACCAAGAGATTCTGCGGCTTCAGGTCACGGTGCAGGATGCGATTCGTGTGGCAAAAGCCCAGTGCATCGAATATCTGATACATATAGCTCTGCAAAACGATGTTTAGATACGGGGCTTAGTTGATTGATGTTCTTGATTTGGTAGGCGGCGACGGCAGTAGCGCGGCCTCCATTTCAAAGACCCACTTTAATTAGTTGCGGCGTAAAGACCTCTTTCTTTTTATCCATCAGCTTCTTGAGGTCCATGTTCAAATACTCGAAAATCATGAAGAGGTTGTTTTTGGATATCACCACATCATACAGTTGTACTACATTTTTGTGCTTCAGCTGCTTCAATAAAGATATCTCTCTTATGGCAGTAGACGGAACGCCCTCAGTTTCGCTGTGAATCAGAACCAGTACAATTAATTCAATGTCACTTATTGCAGGATTATAGAAGCATTTGGGCTGGAATGCAGAACAAAGCCGAATCATGTGGTGCTACGTCTTGCTTCCCACAGCGCAGCACGCACAGAATCCGGGCTGCGTTATGCATCAGAAATCCGCCTTTCTCATTGCTTGGGCAGAGCGTCTGCAGGAGTTTGACATTCGTCAAGGACAATAGGGCGCACCTACCGCTGTCAGTTGGCCACTCACTCAGAATGCGTAAATATGAGCAACTCTGCTCTGCATATTAATGTTTCTAGCTATAAGTTTTTAATACACAAGTCACTTAATAAATTTGGTTAGTACACACCCCTCCAAGCGAATTTTTTTCAATGCTACATCCTTTCCTGTTTGATTGCTACGCGCTTTGTAAACAATTCCGTAGGTTCCTTCGCCGATTTTCTCGGCTCTTTGAAAGTTATCTAGCATTGGCAATTGGCGCTAAAATTAATAATAAAAAAACCGACTGTAGAAACAATAGGCGGCCAACAGCAATTGATTACTAAAAATTGGAGGGAAAATAGCGCGTCTGGTTTTTTTTTGCAGTACTAGTTCATTTTTCAGTCGCTTGGCTGAGTCACATCGATATATTATTATCGATAACATAGGGCTGCAAAATACATATATCTTATAATATAAATGAAATAATTAATCGTTTATTTAACAAATTTAATGTTTGTCCACACATTAAAAGAAAAATTAATAACTGTTCCAGTGTTTTAGCTGTAGAGTTACATTTCATACCGGGACATGTGGGTATTCCCCAAAATTCCGCGGTGGACACGGCAGCCAAAAGAGCAACAACAGACGGCACCTTCATGGTGCTAAAATGGAGCTTAAAGGATGCAGTGCGTACCATGTACAGTCTAATCCATGACGAATGGGAACTAGAGTACGCCAGATTCGTGGCAGAGAAAAACAGAGCATACTGCGCACTTTTTCCGACCACGCTTGGAAAACCGTGGTTCCAAAATAAGAGCTGCAATTTTAACGCAAACAATACAAAACTAATTAATAGACTGCTTAGTGGATACACATTCGATAAAGTCACTCTTTCAAAAATGCATGTTATCGACGATAACAAATGTAACAGCTGCGGCGTTCCCGATAGCGCATCACACATCATATTTGAATGTCCAAAACATAATACAAATCGACAACGCGTCCCATCGCTAACCAAATATAACAATCTGCACTCTTTCTTTAAGCATGAGTCGGTTCAAGAATATAACGCAATAGTAAACTTCATAAATGACACAAAAGTCAAACTGTAATTTCAAGCAACATCCTACATTTATCTAGTGTGGCAATTTCCACTTCACCAATAAGTGGGCGGCCAAATAATTCCACAATACCCAAGGGCATCGTGGTAACTTAAACCCAAAAAAAAAAAAAAAAAAAAAAAAAAAAAAAATAATGTTTGTCCACAATGGACAGTTTTAAATAAAAACACTCTCCTAACAAACAAAAAACAAATAAACAAACAAACATTAAATGTACAAGAGTATATTAGGTTTGCGCGAGCTGAAAAATGTAACAGGCAGAAGGAGGCGTGGCAGACCCCACAAAGTATATATGTACATACATATATTCTTGATCAGCATGACAAGACGAGTCGATTTAGCCCTGTCTGTCCGTCTGTCCGGCTGTCCGTCAGTCCGTATGATCACCTAGATCTCAGAGACTATAAGTGCTAGACACCAAATTTTGCACAAAGATGCCTTATGTGTGTACGCTGTGCAAGTTTGTTTTATTTTTTTGATTTTCCCCCCACTTCCCCCTATGGGGGTTACCCCGATTTTCCATTCGTATAATCGCCTATATCTTGGAGACTATAAGACCTAGGAACACCAAATTTTAGTCCCAGATGCCTTGTGTGAATACGAAGAAAATGTGTATTTTGGAATTTCCCTCTCTCCCCCCTCTCCAATGCAAATCGCGATTTTCTCTAACTCCCGTAATTCTTGGAATTTCGAACTTAACCTTAGCAAATACCTTGAGTTAGTAATTATGTGTCCGTACGCCAAGTTTTACCATGATAGACCGATTTAACAAGAAATTATGGCCATAAATATATTTGCTGCTGCAGTGCTGCTCAAGCGCTGCCTGCGGCTTTTGTTGATGTTGCTGTTTGGTTGACTGCTAACATGTTTACACAGACACGAATAGATGCGCATAGCATACATACACTCACACAGACGCAATTGCTATGTAAATGTGCAATTATACACCATTTACGTGAGTTCGAATACCTAGAAAGGTAAAATGGATCAAAATTTTTTTTTTTTTATTTTCTATAATTATTGTAAACATATGTACAGAGTATTTCAAAGTCGGGACACCCGACTTTAGCTTTTTTACTTGTTTTTTCTTTGTTTAGTGCATTTGGCATTAGGGTTTCCATTAATAACTTTATGCAGCAACAACAAATATCAAATAGTTCGTGTCTATGTGTGCGGTTCTCTACGTACGGTTGAAAAAGTAAAGAGAAACATACATATGTATGTATGTATGTATGTATGCCTGTGTATGAATATAGCATGTATGTACATTCGTATTAATGTATACATTGGGCAATCGAACACAGTTGTTTGATTGTAAAAAAAAATAATGCTCTAAAAACAACAACAACTGCAAGTCATTGGCTCGCTCTTCTTCTTTCGTTTTGACCATTTAATGTTAATTGCAAAGGCAAAACGCCAAAATGTTACAGTTACCGTCGCTAGGCAACGACTGCGTAAGCGATAGTAAAGCAGAAACCGAATAACGGAGCTACGCATATTCTGCTTCGCATTGCGGGCAGATGTATGTATGTATATGATTTGTTCTTATTGATCTCAATAAACAAGTAAAAAAGCTAAAGTCGGGTGTCCCGACTTTGAAATACTCTGTACATATGTTTATAATTATAAAAAATAAAAAAAATTAAGAAAATAAAAAAAAAATTTGATCGATTTTACCTCTCTCGGTATTCGAACTCACGTAAAGGGTGTATAATTGCACATTTACATAGCAATTGCGTCTCTGTGAGTGTATGTATGCCTATGCGCATCTATTCGTGTCTGTGTAAGCATTTTCGCAGTCAACCAAACAGCAACATCAACAACAGCCGCGGGCAGCGCTTGAGCAGCGCTGCATCAGCAAAAATATTTATGGCTATAACTTCTTGTTAAATCGGTCTATCATAATGAAATGGCATACGGACACATAATAACTAACTGGGGGTATTTCCAAAATTTTAGTTCGAAATTCCAAGAATTACGGGAGTTACGATTTGCGGGGTAGAGGGGGGAGGGAGGGGAATTCCAAAATATACATTTTCTTCGTATTCACATAAGGCATCTGGGACTAAAATTTGGTGTTCCTAGGTCTTATAGTCTCCGAGATATAGGCGATTATACGAATGGAAAATCGGGAAAACCCCCATAGGGGGGAAGTGGGGGGGAAAATCAAAAAAATAAAACAAACTCGTATAGAATACACACATAACGCATCTTCGTGCAAAATTTGGTGTCTCTATCTCTTATAGTCTCTGAGATCCAGGTGTTCATACGGACGGACAGACGGACAGACGGACAGACAGACAGACAGGGCTAGATCGACTCGTCTCGTCATGCTGATCAAGAATATATATACTTTGTGGGGTCTGCCACGCCTCCTTCTGCCTGTTACATTTTTCAGCTCCCGCAAACCTAATATACTCTTGTACATTTCATGTACAGAGTATAAAAATTAGATTTTATTATTTAAATATTCTGCTTTTTGCATTCAAACTTCGATATTTTGATGGTATCGGTGGCTTCAACTATCGAAAGTTTTACTCTAGCAAATTGAGATGAGAATTGTCAGTGCTATTTGATCGTGGCATCGCTGCACGGCATTGACACGAGTGCCGTGTTTCATATTCCGAGTTTGTGCGTGACCGTATTGACTCAATATGGCACGAAAAGACTCAAATGTGAATTTAAAATTAAATTTATACCCTTATAATTATTCCCCTGTTTTGCACATAGTCTATCATAAAACGTTGCTATATATAAAACAGTTTGTCCTGACTAATTGGTGATCAACCCACAGCCCAAACGGTAAAAGATGAAATTTGGGCTCAAGTATCCTTTCATAGTATCCATCATAGTGTAGGAACACACTAAGAAAGGCTTTTGGAAAATTCTAGCTCCAAAGGGGGGAAAACGAGCTTTAAAAAATATTAGTTATAGTGGTCATGTTCGTTTAACGAAATAGTTTGGCAAGAACAAAAATGTAACGGACTATTGAACAATTTTTTGTCAAGAACAGAAAATGTTCATTTAAATACCTTAAATGCCTTCCTACTGGTAACTTATAAGGTGAAAACATATGGGTAGGTTATACACACACAAAAAAAATACAATTGGAAACATTATATTGAGCCGGGTTAAGACGGGCACTACCTGCTAGTATATATATATATATATATATATATATATATATATATATATATATATATATATATATATATATATATATATATGAATAATATTGCTTTAATATTTTAAGTGAGAATTTTTTGAGGATGATTATGAACTAACAGCATGCTATTCAGGAGTTTTTTAAGGTACTTTTTTTACACCTTTTTGCAAATATAATATAGCCCATGTTAACCGTCGATAGTGTAGCTTCCCAACAGTGAAAGAATCCATTAAATCGGTACAGTAGATTCGGAGCCTTTTCAATTCAAACAAACAAACATTCAAATCTTTCCTCTTATTAATATATAGATAAATGAATGTACGTATATATACATAAATAAAAACTATTTTAGATACTATTGAATAAAATCCACTCTCTATATGGCCAAATTCGCATGAATACGCTGGGAACGCGATCACTTTTAATACGACTACCATACGTAATAAATCCAACCAAATAGAAATTGTTTGGTTTACCATTGACTATATTTATGCCCATTATAGCCGATCCCGAAATGAGATTTGTATCGGCATTGATAAAACCACAAATTTGATTCGAGTTTGTGCTGATATGTGGTAAAATATTTTTGCAGTGCTCTTGGCTTGTCGTCTGCATATGCGCTTTTGTGCGTACGTTCTCCAGTTGAAAGAACAATCGGACTGGGAATCCGACCACTTCTAATCGTTGCGCAATGTACTCGTTTGCATCTTCACCTGGCGGCAGTAAGCAAATTGGTTGAATATATTCGGAGAGCCGCACTGGCTGAGCGAGTTTTACCAAGGCTATGTCATGGGCATATTGACGAAGATTATAGTTTGGATGCACAGCAATCTCCTCGATTAGATATTCCTGAGGAGGAGGCGCACATTCGCCCAAGTTATTGCAGTCTCCTGTCTTCACATCGTCGGTAGCATTCCAGTCGCCAAAGAGAACGGAGTACATTTCCAGTTCTTTCGTTGTTGGTACACAATGGGCGGGAAAAAGTGCCCATTGGGCCTTGAAGAGCACAGCCAGGCACTGGTAGTGCGGTTCATAATTGTTTTTAAAGTATTTAATGCGACCCAGCCATGGATACTCATCGAGAGAGGTATGTTTTGTTTGGCTGTATAGTTGTGTTTCATTTAGTCTGCCGCACTGTTCACTGCCACTTGATGACTCCACAGACGCTCGCAGTTCAGACTGTCCAGGAAACTGAACTGATACTACAACTGTATTGTTTTAATTACAAAATATGAATATTTAGTTGTTAAACTTACACGATAGCATTTGAATCGTCAAAATCAAAGTGAAGCTACAGCGAATCATTTTTTTGAGTGCTGATTCGTCTAATTTTAAATAATGACTGACGCACTGAAGTTGGGGGACTTCCAAATCAGCTTGCAAGTAGTTCTGTGTTGCTCTTAATACGCCTTTTATTGTGCTCTTAGCTCAAATCACTTAGTAAGAGACTCGGACAGAGCAGAACCAGTTTAAGTTGAGATGCTTCAGACATGCCGACTATAACTCATTGACTCATTTATATAAATTTGAATTGTATTGCCTACATATTTTGTAGCGAGGCTCCAACGGTCTTAGATCGTAAATATTCTTATTTTTCACTTCGTCTCCTATCATGGCGCTTTCGAAGGGAAAAAGGGCTAAGTCAGACGATTGAAGATAACCCTCGGCCTTTTCTATTTTCGACCGTCAGATAGTGCAGACGTGTCTAGAGAAAGAGTTTAAAGAATATCAAAAAGTGAATAAAAAAGAAAGTACTTTAACTGCATGAATAGCAGTGACCGAAATTTAAAGTTGTTAAAAGAAAAACCGAATGTCAATAAGTAAACGCGAATGTCGCCTATTTATTTTCAATAAAAGAGTGGGAGCCAACAGACTGGTAAGTCTATGTTTTGTAGTCAGAATTTGGTTAGGAAAACCTTATAGGTCTTTGGGTTTTTTTCTTCGCCTGTTATTGCAGGTTGCCTACCCATTTTGGGTTATATTTTGTGGAGCTGTGCAATTAATTGGCTCCGGCAGGCCTAGCCGCGCATACCTTTCTTTTTGATGGCATAATTTTCTTGAACGCAAGCGCAACAACAACGGCACAGCTGAACCGAGAAGAGCTGTATTGCAGAGGCTCGTAGAGGCGTTCTTATTTGTGTACTACTAATCGGTGCTCCCGTTGGATGAGAGAGCAGTAGACGACCTCGTCAGATTGCCGAAAGCATTCGGGTCAACTTAAGCACCACCACAGCTTGGCTTGCTAGCTATGGCATGGCTAGTGCCCATTAGCGCCTTCACGGTCGCGGTGGTTTCAACACGACTCCTTAGTTTAATAAATTGTCTTTACGAAAAATGCATTAAGAGTTTTGTGAGATTTAACCTTATGCATTAAGCATTGAGCGACAAAAATCGTTGATTTGTAATTTTCTTGTTATAAGATAAGTAATCCTCATAGCTGTTTGTTTGAAAATTCTAAATCTGTGATAGTCCGCTACAAAATAATTATTACTATTATTTATTGCAATGCCTAAAAACTAGTACCTGTTCTCTAGCCAAGTTCCAGCGACATCGGAAAGCGCTTTCATCGATGGACAAGTGAATTTTGGAGAGTGCATTCCATTTAATTTTTATTATTTGATTACTAAGTCTTACGGAGAATCATAAGCAAAGAGATAACGAAACAAATTTGTTTTTTTTTGTTTTTGCATATTGAGTGGCGCTCGCATGGGCATAGTTTTTTTTGGGTTTGAAGAGACGCACTAATTTTTGTTCTCTCTCTTAACGAAATTTAATAAGGCTCTCCAGCTGTAAAGTTTTTATGTATATTTAATGTTTTATTTGCCTTCAATAGTATACCGCAAATGTTTACTAAAATTTAATAGGCTTAAGTTTCTTTTTTCTAATTTGAACACAATGATAATGGTGGAGTTAATTGTTTCATCGAAGAATTGAAGAAGAAGAACTGAAGTAGCAGTTTTTTTGTTTTCCGCCCAGCTCTGACTTCCGCAGCTGCCTAGCTGAGAGAGCAAAAGGGGTCATTGCAATCACCCCCATCAGGTGATGCTGATTAGGCACTTTTCAATGACCACGGTAGGGTGGCCGACTAGAGCCTCAAAAACAGCTGAGCTGCTCGTAGAATTTATTTTGCCTTAGCGTTTCTTTGTTGTTGCTATTGGCTGTAAATGTCCCTGTACACAATCTTTTTCTTTGGCTCGTATGCGTGTGTACTCTTTTTTGCTAGTTCGTCCTATGCCCGCTTTTTATTTAAATAATATTATCTTTTGAGGGCGTGCATGGCGTGGGATATGCATAAGTATTGAACACCATCCAATTGCCGACGAGCCAGAGCCGGATCATAGTGTGCCGCTCTCGCCCATGCCTAACATCTGTCCAGTTCGTCCGTCACAATTATTAGCCTGTACCTAAAGGGTAAAAGGCTATGCTAGTTTTGTGCAAATGTACATAAAGAAGGAGGCGTGGCAGATCCCACAAAGTATACTTATTTTTGATCAGTATGACAAGACGAGTCGATATAGCCATGTCCGTCTGTCCGCCCGTCTGTCTGTATGAGTTCGTAAGCCAAGTTTTACCATGATAGACCGATTTTAAAGGAAGTTATAGCCGTATAGGTCGATCTATGTCTGTCCATCCGATAAGAGCTAGGGACACCAAATTTTGCACAAAGATGCCTTATGTGTGTACGCTGTGCAAGTTTGATATATTTTTTCGATTTTTCACCCATTTCCCCCTATGGGGGTTATCCCGATTTTCCATTCGTATAATCGCCTATAGCTCAGAGACTATAAAAGCTAGGGTCACCAAATTTTAGTCCCAGATGCCTTATGTGAATACGCAGAAAATGTGTATTTTGGAATTTCCCTTCCTCTGCCCTCTCCAACGTAATCACTGATTGTCCATAACTCCCGTATTTCATGGAATTTTTCAATGAAATTCAGAAAACATCTCCAGTTAGTGATTATGAGTCTGTATGCTAAGTTTCATAATGATATGCCGATTTAACAGGAAGTTATAGCCATATATGTATATATGACCAAGCAGTGCCGCTTAAGCCGTTGGGATAAGTATAAAGAAAGCTTATCGGGAGACATTGTAAACGATATGAAATTACCTGCACATGGTAATATTGCCTCAGTTATTATGGATATAATCTTTAATAAATGTCTCATCCATATTGAAAATACAGTTTTGTCCATAGGCGGACAAAATATTACTGCATATCGGCTTAGGGAGCCGAGTAGATCAGAAGAAGTGCTCCAAAATAAGGAGTACCTCACAGAAATAAGTTATGAAAATAATGAACATTTGCTTTGCGATGAGCAAAGTAGAATAGGATTTAAGAGATAATGGGAGGAATTACTGTCCTTTTAGCTGGAAACTTTTGTCATACGCTTCCGGTAGGGCCTAGAGGAACAAAAGCTGATGAGATAAAGTCTAGGCATGACTTCATTTCATTTTCGTGGCTTAAGATCCAAAAATTGGCATTAACAATGAATATGCGAGTGTACCTGAAAGGTGATACTTCTGCCGGCATTTTCGCAGAAACGCTTCTTAAAATAGTATATCCAACAACAGATGGAAAAATATTCATCCCATAATGGTTGGGCACTTTGGTTAAGTCTCTAAAAGAGCTTACCTCTAGCATATTTCCAGATATTTCAAATATCTCCACACAATCACTTGAAGGGGCCACTAAAATAAATAATATACTTTTAAAGTCACTTGATGGAGAAGAAATTACCTATAAGTCCGTCGACTCTGTAATAGAAGACGAGGATGCAGTTAATTATCCTGTCAAGTTCCTCAACTCGCAAAATCCTGCGGGGCTTCCCCTACATAACCTTATTCTTGAGGTGGGAGCACCCATAATGTGTGAAAAGTCTTCACTCTTATGTAAGTGAAGCTAAGGTATTCACTGGTTGTGCCAAAGGGTAGACGGTATACCAAGAATCCCGCTTATACCATCAAACCTTCCATTTCAGTTTAAAAGACTTCAATTCCCCCTCAAAGTCTGTTTTGCCATTACAATTAATAAGTCACAGGGCCAGACATTAAAACTAGCTGGATTAGACCTACAGCAGGATTGCTTCTCTCATGGACAGTTTTATGTGGGCTGTTCAAGAGTTAGCTCCGCTTGTAGCTTAATGATTTTCGCGCAGGGGGAAAATCGTCAAATGTTGTTTATAGGGAAATTTTACAACAGCAATGATATAATACTTGCAACTTTAAAGTACTTTAAATGGTTTATATAGTACACATTTAACCTATGTTAAATACATATATTAAATGGGTTAAAAAAGCGTACCCAATCCTCAACATCTAAGGTGGTGTGGAAAGGAGGAAATATGTGATTGATTTGTCTAATTATAGTAATGAAGTCCCATTATTTACAAGCCTGTAGTTCAATGTCAATCAAATAAGGATTAATTAAAACGTTATTTTGACGAAGACAAAAATTACCTTTTACGTTACGGTCTGCTAAAAACGTCTTTTTTTAAAAAGGACTTAGAATTTTTAGTCGAAGAAATAAGTAATAAAAACAACTTGCCCAGGTTACGACGGACAATTCCTGGTAGTATGTACATATGTTATATTGAACGACATCAACATTGAAAAAAAATTATGAGAAAAAGAAAATATTTATTAGGCAGTCGTTTCGAAAACTCGTCAGTTCCTGATTCATGAATCCAAGACTAATTTGATTCAAGTCCTTATTGAATCGCAGATGTACACAACTAACATTACGCCCTGTCTAAACTAAATCTAATTTAAGATATATTAAAATTTCATCGAAATAATCATTCAACGTCTTTCTCTTAATTAATGCGAAATACTGAAGGCCATATTTTTGTGGGCTCATCCGGGCTCTTTATGTATGTGTTGCATGCATGTTTCGAGCAGCGGTTACTAAATCTACTTGGAAAGCAAATTGCTATTCAACTTAGATTCCACAGAGGAGAATAATAAAGTGGATGTAAAATTTTGATGAATCGTTTAAAAAACCGTTTCGTGGATTTTATGTGGTGCATTTAAAATTTTAATTTCTTGTGATTTGGACACGCATTCGAGCACTCTGTTATTCAATTCCTATTATTTACTCATGAGTCTGCCGTGCTGCTCTGCATCCTGGCAGCGCTCCCCAAAACCTCTTGTTTTGGGTTTTACGTGTTGCAATAAAAGTGCCATAAAAATGTGTTTTGACGTGTTTGTGCTTAGTACCAGGCTTCTGAATCATATCTGTGTTTTGTTTTGTCTTTTTTTGTTTTTGTTTTGGAACGCCGTGCAACGTGTGTTGTTGTTTGTTTTTACATGCATGTCGACAGACATTTGCGTGCTGACTGGCTGAGCTTTTCGCTGGCCAAAAATCACATATTATGGTACATTAATCATGCCCCTTCAGTTTGGGGAATACGAAGAAATGGAAGTGCGAGTTGGGAGTGGGAGAAGGTGCGGCAAGAAGTTCTTAGTGGTGATGACTTTATTAAGCCCTCAGCGTGCCATGCCCATGGAATTAGGTAAGCTTGTTGTTTACACGCATTGCTCATACGCAGCGTGTGACGGCGGCAATTAGAAATGATTTATACTGCGCACTGTACTTATTTATGTTTGTATTTAAAATCAAATCAGCATAAAAAGCAACACGCACACGCCTGTGCGCAAATATCGTTAATAGAAGCGCAAAGTGCCTGCATGAGAATTCGAGGAAAGCCCCTTGCCATCGAAGGTGGCGAAATGGTTGCACAACTGCAAGCGACACTGCATTGAATGCTAGCCATAAAATTTATGACTGCAGCTTTACTTGCACATTTCCATATTCTGCACGTTTGTGCAATGCTTGCGGTTGATAAAGGTTGAGTGGGCGTGGCTGGGCGCCCGTTTTCTTTAGTCAAATATAAATTATGCCATACTGATATGTACTTAAGTTTGGCGCCAGCCAAGTGCTCCGAGGAGTGTGAAAAATTGCAATTTG